AAATAATTGCAGAGCATAGAACTCTACGAGAACTAGCCAAAACTCCCCCTAGAACTGCGATATATACTCAGCACGACACCCTTTGCTCGAGTGTCGTGCTGAAATCGGACATTAAAAAATTTTAAAAATTATTAAAAAATGTTTACTCGCCGAAACTATTATTGAAAATAATTGCAGAGCATAGAACTCTACGAGAACTAGCCAAAACTCTCCCTAGAACTGCGATATATACTCAGCACGACACCCTTTGCTCGAGTGTCGTGCTGAAATCGGACATTAAAAAATTTTTAAAATTATTAAAAAATGTTTACTCGCCGGAACTATTATTGAAAATAATTGCAGAGCATAGAACTCTACGAGAACTAGCCAAAACTCTCCCTAGAACTGCGATATATACTCAGCACGACACCCTTTGCTCGAGTGTCGTGCTGAAATCGGACATTAAAAAATTTTAAAAATTATTAAAAAATGTTTAATTGCCGGAACTATTTTTAAAAATAATTGCAGAGCATAGAACTCTACGAGAACTAGCCAAAACTCCCCCTAGAACTGCGATATATACTCAGCACGACACCCTTTGCTCGAGTGTCGTGCTGAAATCGGACATTAAAAAATTTTAAAAATTATTAAAAAATGTTTAATCGCCGGAACTATTTTTAAAAATAATTGCAGAGCATAGAACTCTACGAGAACTAGCCAAAACTCTCCCTAGAACTGCGATATATACTCAGCACGACACCCTTTGCTCGAGTGTCGTGCTGAAATCGGACATTAAAAAATTTTAAAAATTATTAAAAAATGTTTAATCGCCGGAACTATTTTTAAAAATAATTGAAAAGCATAGAACTCTACGAGAACTGGCCAAAACCCCCCCTAGAACTGCGATATATACTTAGCACGACACCCTTTGCTCGAGTGTCGTGCTATAATTATCTTATTAATTATTTAAGTTAATTACTGTTAATCGACAGAACTATTATCGAAAATTATTTTGGAGGTCAGAACTATCCTAGAACTCGTAAAATGCGCCCAGAGAAATAGATATTTCTACCAGCACGACACTCTTCCGCGATGTCGTGCTATAATAGCTTATTAATTAATTAAGTTAATTATGGTTAATCGACAGAACTATTGTCGAACATTATTTTGGAGGTCAGAACTATCCTAGAGCTCGCAAATTGCGCCGTGAGAAATGAATATTTCTATTAGCACAACAAGATAAAATTTTTACAAATATCGTTTAAATTTTGTTTTTTAACTCGTAGAATGCATAGTTCGCCGGAACTATTGTTAAAATCTATCAGGAACTCTAGATCTCGTCGAAATCTATCGAAATACATGAATAAAAAATTTTTTTTGCATAAGTGTCGTGCTACGGGAAGTTAGCACGACATTTTTAAAAAATTCGTTTTTTGACCTTAAATTGACAGAACTATTTGCGAAACCTATCAGGAACTCTAGAACTCTTAAAAGTGCTACTAGAACTCATATGTTTTTTTTGAAAATCGAAAAAAGCCGTGCCAACTTCACAGAGTTAAATCTACCGGCATTTAAATTGATAAATAATTAAATAACGATGCAAAAATTGCCTATAGAATTTTTAAAGATAAATAAGTTTCTGTTTAAATTTTTACTACATTTTACAGATTTTGCTCTTTGAATTATATATCGTAACAAAATAAAAAATAAATTGTCAAATATATATGGACATACATATGGACCGGTGAAGACTCAATTCGGCGAAGTTTATTAAAAATCATTTTCATCGAGATAACTATATCATGCAAAAAATCGATCTTTCGACAAAAGTTTTGTAAGATAAAAGAGAAATATAAATTCATGGAACGTCGTTCTCTTTCTCTCTCGCAAAATAATTGCAAAAATACTGTAAAATCGACGGCCCGAACATATTTGTGTTCTCATGGAGAACCGTTGCTTAAGGGTCGAAAAATCGTTCGGCACCGGTGATGCTCCGTTTTACGCATGTTGCAAAATCAATGGGTGGTAAACAAGGACGCAATCGGTAAACAATGTGCCGCGGCAGAAAATATTGCGCCGTTGCAATAGACCCGTATAACACTTTGCTTTTACCTCGGCGAGCATGCCGCCGAAATACGACTGGGTAAATATTTGGAAACGCTTTTCTCTATATAAAATATAAATCCGCGCGCGAAAAGCGTCGAAAAACGCCGCTCTGCAACTCGAGCGATAGACACGTGTTATTTTACCTAATTACTGTACGCGCGAGACAAGAGAGACAGCTACGATCGATTGTTTATGTCCGTTACAAATGTGACGGTAACTTTTAAAGTACACCTAACATCACACGTGAAAAATTTTCCTGTGTTACATACACACGGTGTCGTCAGACGAAATCAAGATAAATCTCCAAAGTTTATCTATAGCAATGGAACAACACCTCGTATACAACGTATAAAATGTTGGCCAAAAGAGCATGTTTTCTTTTAATCGCATATATTCTATATGCAAATTCTATATGCAATTGTTTCAAATAATTTTGAAGTTGTAAACAAAAATGTATATACAAATCTAATTATACGGAGAGAAAAGCGAAAGAATGATTTCGAGAAAGGGGATGCTGTATAGCATCTCTCTCATTATAGCATTATTATTTCAAGAGTTAACGCGCACACTGTACTCTCCAAATAGTAGCACATACACTATATTGCACCAGGAGACCACACGGCGATCTCGGTTCATTATCGCGACTGCTCGCGAGGCAAACTTAGACCGCGAGTTTCGTAATTGCTGCACCCAGCGAAGTGTTGCATCTCCGCATGAGCGCAAAAACAAGCCGAATTGAGTAAGGCGTTATTCGTGACCGGCGAAACTTTACATTAACGATATTACACCCTTGCGCGCCCGAATAAATAAGATTTTGTCGAGCGGTAGATGTGCATATTTTGAAAAGATATACAGAGAGAAATTTCTCTTAAAGTTTACCCTGAAAATCATGGTAATCGTGGAACAATATGGTGTTGGAAGAATTTTATTTAGAAGAGTTTCTAGTTTCTCTGATTAATATTTACCACGATAAAAAATATTAATATTTACCACAAATAAGATGTTAAATATATTCGATTAATTTTACTATGTACATAATAATTTTTATTGTAGTAAATATTAATCAGAGAAATTCTTATAAAATTCTTTCTATACCATATTGTCCCACGATTACCATCATTTTCAAGGTAAATTCTAAGAGACAATTCTCTCCGTGTCGTCTTTCACGAAACTTACGATTGCATATTCAATTGATTTACGTTGCAAAAAAATAACTACGCATAACATTACAACGGATTTGGATTAATAATAATCGAGACTGATAGAGAAAATTAATATAGAAAATTATAAAATAATTATAACATGTTATATCATAATTATAATATATTTCACTCGTGAGAAAAGCGTGAACGATATTGCTCGAGTTAAAATAAAAAATATCGAACATGTATTCGTGCTAAAAACATTCCAGATATTATTGTTGAATATCAGTCATTGTTAATATCAAAAGTCAGAATGACTTTCATTTATTTATTATATTTTTAGCCATAAAAATGTTCGAATAAAGAATGCTTTTTTATCTAAATCAATTTTACATTGGAAAAATTTGACATAATCAATTTTTATATTTGTTTTTTCCGCCTCACAAATTTAAATGATAAATATTAATATCTAGACAAGTCGGAAACAGTGCACAGTTGCACGATGAAAAAGGTTAATGAACATGAATATAGCGTACGATTCAGGAGCAAATCGAAATAATACAATGCCTGGAAACAGAACAGTTAAAACAGGCATCGACCTAGAAATTTTTAATATACATTTCCTCTCATTTCTATATCGGATCAACTTATTATTAGAAGAATCTCTGAGTCGATCTTTCCTCAATAGAAATGTCATTTTCTATAACTAGTTTTCGATATTGAATATCTTATAGATTTAACAATTAAATTAAAATTCTGTGAAAGCAAAATACATTTATAACTAAATTTAAAAAATATACATATATATAAATAATATATATACATATATATATATATATAATATATTTCTCTTCATTTAATTTTAAATAGAATTTTACTTCAATAGAATTTTAATTTATTTATTACAATTCTAAAGATATTTAATATCGAGAATGAGCTGATTGTGAAATAAAAACATTTCTGTTAAGAAAATTTTAATTTTTATATATATATTTATTTGTTTATTTACATATGGACTAGAATTTTGTTCACTCGTTTATGTAAGAAATTTGCTATGGACGAAATAATAATAGAATAGTAAGATATAGAGAAATAAGTCTCTATAATTCTTATATATGATTCTCCTAATTACACGATTTAATATTTAAAACGGATCTCTAAATTATATATTATTGAATAGTCATTCGGAATTCTTGCTCAAAAATACAGAAACTGCATGGGATTTAGGTCGCAAAATAATACTCGCATCATCGCAAAAAATATACAGTTGAAATAATTTTCTATACTTGAAACATTCATTCAAATATCTTTTTTCGGAGAAGAGAGAAAAGTGCGATATTATTAATAAATATTAATTTTCTTTATACTTCTACTTTATATCAGATAATTATTAGAATAATAAATACGATCGTGAAAACAAATTTGAAATCTGTAGTTATCTTTCTCTAGCTATTTTTCTCTTTATGCATATGTACATGCTGCTTCCGTATTCTTCTCCTGCATCTGCCTATATAGATTTGTTCGTTTCAATTGCTCCTTCAATTTTTTGCCTCTTTCTTTCTCTCTTTTCCTTCTTCCTAAAATATTAAACTCAAATATACAATATTAATATACAATAAATATACAATGTTAAATGCAAAAAATACAAAAAGGTGCAGCTGAAACGAACAAATTTTATTTTCTGAACTTGAAGCGACAATACTTGCCGCATCGCTGCATCTGGAGCCTTCAAATGCTGTCGTTTTTTTCTTTCGAAAAGGAAAAGGGACTCACCGAATGGCGACAGTTCGTTCCGCGTGTCTGCCCTTCATCCTCGAAGAGTCCTGGGCCGGTCGTTCTGCGTGGGAAGTCACGACGAGCAGATCACTCCATGCCAGGAAATCCGAACGACGACGACGACGACGACGCACACCAGCCTTCAAAGCAGAAGATGTCTTTCGCGAATTTCGCACGAACGGAGACGCGAAGCACACGAAAGGACTCCCGCCGATGTTCGCCGCGCGCGAAACACGAAATTTGACGTCACGATTTTCGTCGTCACACGTTGGCAATCCTCGCTCGAGTTATCGAAATTTAGCCGCGCGTCTACGAGTGTGCGCGCGAAATTTGAAAATTGCAAATTCAGATTTGCTCGATCAGACGCGACATCGCGCTTTTTTCCTAAGGTTTTATACATATTTTATACATGTAAAATATTGATATTTTGCTATTATGCACCATTGTGATATATGTATATAATATTTAAGGATTTATATGTATCTAAAGAGAAAAAAAATAATTATATCTTGTTTCAAATTTTATTTTTTGAGCTGAAAGATATAAACAGTTTCATTTACTCCAGTCTCTTTCTAATTTATTGTGTGATATGTTTAGTATCGTGAATAAGTAAAGATAATATGGCACTCAAGAGATTAAAGAGAACTAAAGAAATTACACTGATTGAGTTACTTGCTTTCGATTATGTTTCTAAAAGATCGAGTCAATTAAACGAAGACTTCGTGTACTTTGATTTACTCAATTCGTTACAAAGACGATCGTAATTAAATTCCTTCCATCTGTGCTCCGATGCGACCATAATTACGTGCATATGCATGTTCGTTAATCCTTAACCGCTGGGAATAATTAATAAATAATCATTTTAGTTTATGGACGCAATTATGTACATTGAATGTAATCGATTGTATAGAAAAATTAGCTATTACAATACCGAAATTATTAAAAAATAAATGAAAAAATAATTAATATCAAATACATTAGTTATCCGTAAAATAACATTTTTATGCAAGTAACAAGATTATCAAATATATGATAAAAAAATATTATCTCACTGGCGCAAAAATCACATGCAAAAAAGAACTTTACCTCAATTTTGTTTTAAATTTTGTTGCTAAAAGCAAGCTATAAAATTGAATAAAAAAATGTTTAATATCTTCTTTTATTAATTTATAGTATTTTTGTTAATGTATATCACATATTATTTATAATTACGCGTTACACAGTTTCGCAAAAAAAAACAAGCGGAAATGTATGTGAACAGTTTATTATAATAGGCAAGAAAAATTTTAAATATATTTTATTTTAATAATATAATTTATATATGATAAGAGTATAATTTATATATGATAAGAGAAAACTGAATATTCTTTCAATCAAAAATAATATCACGAGTGATTTTCTATATATTTTTTCTTTATAAAAATATATATTCTCTGAATAAAAATGAAATTCTTATATTAAGAAAATATTGAGAAGCTATAATAGCAAAATCTCCGCGTTATCGATTAAATATATTTTAATATCTACAAGAATATATAACGTAAATTTAATATTACATTTTCTTCAACTTTTGCGTACAACATTGACAACTGATTGTAAAAATCTCGTAAACACTAGTCACAAACATCAATGTCAACAAAACATTTTCTCAATGTAAACATAGAATAAAAGGACTTATCTGTACGAAAGACTTCTTCCTTGAATTGTTATTACTGTTCAAAAATTACACACTTCTTCGACACGCCGAACAATTCACTCGAGTGATATTAACAACCGAATAAACAGAAACCGGCTTCGACGGATACTTCGAAATAAAGTCTGATAATAACGAAACGGGCGAAAAGGGAAGAGAGATTTCGCTCGGACGGCAAAATCTTTTCCTCGAACTTGAGAATTCCGCGAGTTGTACGCACCAATCGCGAGCGAGGATCACCGGCAAGAGACCGAGGAGACAACACGCGCGAACGGACGCGCAACGACACGTAAACACCGGCAACTTCACGCGACACAGCAAGTCGGACAGAGACGCGGCAATCTTCAAGCGAGAGACAATTTCCAAAAAAAAAAAAAACTGCCTCGCGTCGAAGAACGAGACGCGCGTCTGTCTTTCTCTACCCCCTGTGTCGCACAAGATGCGAGCAGAGAGAGAGAGAGGGAGAGATTCGCGTTCCTCCGGGATATTGCACTCTCGCTCCTGCTCCACGCGATTTGTCACCGCGAGCCCGGATCTCGGCTCGTAACGGAACCCGGAGAAAGGGATATTACGTTCGCGAGTAGCGCGCGATCGAACAATCAAACTCACCGGGCGGCGGCGGAATTTCCGAGAAACTCAGAACCCGGGACGAGATCGCGATCGTTTACGTTTACTCCGGCCTCGCTTGAGCGACCGACTCGACCGTACCCGTGAAAGGCGACTACCACTCTGAACTGAGCGCTGCGCCGCCGCGAGTGGGGGAGCTCCGGACGCCCCTCCCCTTCCTCCCTCCCTCCTCCCACTATCTCGCTCGCGCTCACGGAACGCGCGCGCGTTCTCTGCCTCCCACCACCTTGATCCGAGCGAAGCTAGTCGAAAGAGCCGCCGGCGGGGACCTCCATAGCTTCCGACATTGCTCACCAGATGGCGCTGTTGTACGCTTTTGCACGATGTTCAGGTGTGTATCGATGACAACAGAGAATAAGAGCGAGCGAGAAAGAGAGAGATACTTTATATTTATGTTTCACTCATTTATCGAGTGGAGAATTACTTATAAAATTAAAAGAAAATATATATATATACACCTTACAAGAATTGTTTATACTTTCATTTTTCTCATTCTAAGATATTTCGTATAAAGTATAAATACATAGTATACAATGAAGCATGCTATGACATTCTTAATCTTTGTTCCTTTATTTTAATTACAAATGAGTTGTTTATGAAAATAAATTATTTCTCTTTTTTTTACAGAAAAGAATATAATTGTTTCCTAAACTAAGATTTTTTATAAAATGTAGTAATTTGTAATTTATAAAGAAATATTTAGTAATAAAATTTATCTTTATTATGAAAAAAATGAACGTTTTACATATGGCTGGTATTTAATATATGGTGCGTTATTCCGTAAAGGTACAGTAAAAATTATGCTAAATTATACAGAATTGTAACGAAGTGACGAACATCAAAATAAAAAAGAAAATGATTAAAGCAAAAATAAACATTCTCATGTCCTTACATATGCTAATCAACTTTCAGATATCTTGAATCGTATTTTCTATATCTATTTCATAAATTATATTTTATAAAAACTGAAGTGCCAGTCTTCACTATTATTAAGATTGTAATGACCAAAGAAAATTTACAATAGAATTAAAGAATTTATAGTTTAATTTCTTCACCAGTGAAAGATTGTTAATTTCGCATATTTGAGGCAGAAAATATTCGATGATTGTTTGTCAATTATTACATTAGCTTTTACATTTAACTCTTGGTACATTTCGAATCATAATTAAACTGTCAAAATTCTAGAACTGATTTTTATGACTGTATTGTAATCCTGATAGGAAAACGCGCAAAAAACGTGTACATTAGTACAAGAGCAAAGAATTTTGAGATAGTATTTAAATAGAGATTTTAAGATTGAAAACTTTATCATATATTTCTATACGCATTTGGCAAAATGTGGAGTCATTCGAGTCGTAAACTCGGAAGTTACATGTGTAAACGTCCGCTTTGCATTTCTCTTCCTTTCTTTTTCTCTTTACTACTGAGATGAATCCGACGATAAGGAAATCTTTACTGTTTACTCTATATGTTGGATAATCGCACGCTGGCGTGTATGTAATAAATTTAAAGTATATCGTAAAACATGTTTAAAAGTTAAATAACAAATCGAACATTGCAACGTTATGCATTAATGCTTTTGTGAGGACAAATTATTGAAAATGATACTTTGTTTGAAACAAATTAACAAGACGTATCTTTGATAATAGATGACGCAATTTAAAAACAATTGAAATGAAATAAAATTAAGCACAAATGATTCGGCAAAAAGTCGATAGCTTCGTGAGGTATCGTAAATAATTAAACATAGTAATTGAAGACGTTTTCACACGCCTTCTGATGCTTCCGCAGTGTTCATAAATTGCAAACTGTACCGAAGACTGTCGTTATCTCGAGCAAGCCATGCTACAACGCATCGCTCGCAACACACTAAAAATTTCCTATTCTCGGTCTACAATTCTCCCTGTCTTGCCCATTTGTCAATTGCATGATGAACATTTGTCTTTTTTTCTTTACTCTCATTTTTATCTATATTAAATTATATCAATATACTGTTTTATTTATATATCTATATATATCTCTATGTATATATCACGCCAGTCTCCTCATCGATTTAGTAACTTAGGTACACTTTGTCAACAAACACTGGATCAACTCTTCCATCCTCCCATTTGCCCACGAATCTTGAAATGTTCAATATCAATTACCGCTAAATTATGCCGGCTTCTGCGAACCCTTCTTGCCAATAAGCGATTTGTGGATATGTGGAATGACACCTATAATCAAATAAAAAACACAATGCTTTAATTTTTTGCATTTTTATCAATGTAAATTATATAAAGAAAAATATTTAAAATGTATAATTACTAAAATGTATACAAAAACTTTGATAATATAAAGGAACACACTGTTACACTATATTATTACCTCAAATAATAATAAAATTAATAATTCTCAAAGTTATACATTGATAATTAAGTTACGCATTAATAATTAGTATTAATTATGTAATATGAAAACAATAATAGTAAAAGAAATACCTCCTCCTGCAATAGTTGCTTTAATGAGACTATCTAATTCTTCATCACCACGTATGGCAAGTTGCAGATGTCTAGGTGTAATACGTTTGACTTTCAGATCCTTTGATGCATTTCCCGCCAACTCCAATACCTAAACAAAAAAAAGTTATACTAAAATATTTCAACTTTCAAAGTTTAACAATAGAGCATGACTATAATATTTAAAAATAATATTAATTTCACTAACACATATTACTTATTCAATTACGTAGCATTATATTGCCTTAAATTTGCATCGTCTCTAATAAATGCAAATTATTATTTTCATGTAAGACATTTGAAATTATTATTTTCATTAGTATATGTGTATGTATTAAGATTCAATTATATAATTGTTTTTTTAAGCTCTTGTCATATGAAGCAACAAACAATACAAATTGAAGTTGCTATTTTTTGAAGACAACTGATCGATTAATACAGTATTGTAATTTTTTCCTCTCTCATATTCTTTATATAATGACACAATAAATCTATATATTAAAAAATTATTCAAATTTTATAATTTAAAAAATTAGTCATTTTAAATATTCCAAAGCTTAAACAAAAGTAGAACTATATCGGCTGAAAGTAAAAGCAAAAATATTTCATAAATCTTACACTCAATATATATATCTAATATTTTTTCATTCATCATATTCATCATGTTCACTTTCTTTTCTTGCCTTTAATATAATTATTGAATAATTATATTAATTAATAATTATAATTATAAAACTAACAAACACGTTATTTACAATGTTAAATTGGTTTTTTTATACAAAACAATATTTTTGTAAAGAAACTGTCAGAGAGGTACAGATAAATATAATAAAGTTAAATTTTTAATGAATACAAAAACATGTATATAATATATTCGTTAATAATTATAATCACATAAGAAAATAATAAATTAAGAAAAAATAATAAATTATATAAATGATTGTTTATCAAATAAAATTAACTTCTCACATCAAAATTTTAATTTCAATAAACATGTAATCTTGATATTTTTAATTTATCATAACAAATTTCTCGTTTTAAAAAAGGCGGGAAAATCGGCCATGTTGTTTTGACGACTACGATGCCCTCTGCATTCTGTGACCCTCCTGTTTATGGGTGCGTTCCGTTATGCACTGCAAGTACTGACAGTACTACCAATAGCGTTCCGATATAGATAGCAGTGCACTGCGAAAGTACTATCATGAGTATATGACGTCATTAATTTTGACGTTATTTCCTGTTGCGATTACTGCAACCGGCGAGGTAAAGCACTCGCAGTAATCAAGATGGCTACCTCCATGTGTACGATGGAACTAACTTTTAAATTCCATATCTGAATATAATGATACAATATTTTTAACGTAATTTTTACATTTTATTCTAGGTATTTTAATTTGTCGTCTCATTTCATTTATTAATTCCATTTCCAAATCGCTTTCACTTGATGACTCACTCGAATCATATATATTCTCGATTAAATTATATGTAATTAATGCAATAATGGTATTATCCATTTCACCAATTTTTCACTCGATGATTATTAGCGAAAAAGGTTAGTTAAAAGTCTGCTGAAAGCGTACTGTAGTGCGTTCCGTTTTACTATTTTGCAGTAGCTTCAAAGTGCACAAAATTAAAAAGGAACGCTGTCAACAGTACACTTGCATGACGTCATAGTGCCAGTACTTGCAGTGCATAACGGAACGCACCCTATAACAGCTGTTCTCTATTACATATCGTATTCTCTCTTTATTCATTATTCAGTCTTTGTTCCTCTTTTCGTGTTTGCGCAAAGATTATTCAATATTTAATATTTAATTATTAAATATATATTTATATGTTTGATTAATTATATTACACAAACATAACAGTTATTGGAAATTGAAAAATTACATTTATGTTAAATAAATTATTAATGTCATAGTGATGAAAAGAAATATATCATTTAATGATTATATATTAATAGCACTCTAACTAATGTGTTTGCAACGCAATAACAATTGAAACAATTTTTCAACGTCGCGCATCCTAAAGTTTCTTTTTTAAATTTTCAATCCTTACAATTTGATTCTCTATTTCATTGTTATTATTTGTAATATTACTACTCGCTCTCTTTACACACATTTAATTTTCCTTCTCTTAATAGCTCGTCATTTTGTATAAATGTAATTTTTATTTTATTGTTACATTATTACATTGACATATACTCAATCTCGCGGGATCTAATGGAGAGCTTCAGTTTCAATTTCAGTATCAATTACAATCTTTCTCGCATTTTCTCTTCTCTCTCTCTCTCTCTCTCTCTCCCCTCTTTCTCTTTTGCTCTACACACACATACTCACCTCGGCCGTGAGGTATTCCAAAATGGCTGCGCTATACACTGCCGCAGTAGCGCCTACTCGACCATGACTCGTGGTTCTGTTTTTCAAATGCCTGTGAATTCTGCCCACTGGGAACTGCAATAAACCACTAAATTAGTCGCGTTTTTTTACTCCAGTCACGAGTCAAATTAAACAAGAATGTATTCGTAATTGGACAGACAATATATATACACACATTTAGACATATACATGTATATATATTTTTAAAGACTGATGAAAAAAACTGACGTCACATTGTTGATACGTAAGAATGTACGTAATATATGTAGTGATAGAAAAAGCTCGATCATATGTGTGACTGAATTGAATTGAAGATTCAAAAATTACAAAACAATGTTCGCGGTTGTAATAAATTTTATAATTTTTGATCAACATATTACATCATATTTTTTTCTCTTTCTTGAATATCAGCATTAATACACAAAATATGTTATATCGAATTAAAAATTTTCCACTGTATCTAATCTGTTTGGAAAGTTCTATCTTAAAATATTATTTGTATAATTAAAGGTCAGTAATAGATATATCAAATAAAATGGAAAATTAAAAAAAACATTTTTATATTATTATGTATTTTATTCGGAATGTTGCTGAACGTTGAATTTTGTAAGAATATTAAAAAAGAATAAAAAAAGATATATCTATAATTAGAAATAAACATATGTTCTCATCTTACCAGAAAGACTTAAAACCATTTGAAGAATAAAACAAATAAAAGACTTAAAAGAATTTAAATAGAATAAATAAAAAGCAAACGTATTGTAAATGCTGAGACAATGAAAAATAAATCTAATTAAATAAAATCGTGGAAAAAATTGAACGAAATTATATATTAACATTCTGAGTACATAATAGGATATTTCTTAATATACAGAAAATATGTAATATATAAAAACTGGATAAATGTAAAAATAAAAAAATATATTATAATTTTTTTAAATTTATGCAAATTTCTTTACATTCATATTTTATTTGAATTTACAAATCTATGTAAATGTTTAAAAATTGTGGAACAATTCGTGATGCGTTGGGTATATTTAAAGATATGTTTATAGAAGCAGGCAGAGATCATTTTAAGCGTGTCTTGGTAAAACGAGCAGCCGTTTGTCGCATACTAAAAAACACCCTGTATGTATCTAGCGAATAAACTATGTAAATAATGTTTGATCCGAACTCAGTTCTCACAGCAAATACTCTCAGCTAATATGTATTCACAATCATTGAGTTACAGAAGCAGTTTTTTCCTGGACACACAAGGCGTTTCTCTAGATTTCTATCTCTTAAAAATTCAAAACAATTGATTTAAAAAGTTATATTGTAAATCACATTAATAAGAAATAATAAGTCTCTATGAACAAGTTTTGTTAAAATATTTGACATAAGTATACTTATACAGTATATGTAACAATGATGAACGATGATAACAATAATACTCAATGAGGAATTCTTCGTGTGTGATCCACTCGATATTCAAAAGCAGAAATTAATACTCTTTACACAGATAAAATTTTCTCTTAGAATTTACCCTGAAAATCATGGTAATCGTGGAACAATATTGGAAGAATTTTACTGATTTACAACAAAAATATTAATATCTACCACAATAAGATACAAAATATACTCGATTAATTTTACTATGTATATATATAGTAAAATTCACTATGTATCTATTCATATTTTTTACTGCGGTAAATATTAATCAGACAAACTAATAAAATTCTTCCAACCATATATTATCCTACGATCACCATGATTTTTGAGATAAATTCTAAGAGAAAAGTCTCTCCGTGCATCTATATTGATATAAATAACGACGCGTTTAGATGAATTAATTTGACATTTTTTATGAGAAAACCATGATTTTTGGGAAAAATTCTAAGAGAAAATTAATTAATTTGACATTTTTAATGAGAAAACCATGATTTTTGAGATAAATTCTAAGAGAAAATTCTCTCCGCGCATCTATATTGATATAAATAACAACGCGTTTGGATGAATTAATTAATTTGACATTTTTAATGAGAAAACTATGATTTTTGGGATAAATTCTAAGAGAAAATTAATTAATTTGACATTTTTAATGAGAAAACCATGATTTGTGGGATAAATTGTTCTCTCCGTGCATCTATATATCGATATCAATAACGACACGTTTGGCTGAATAAATTTGAAATGTTTAATCGACGCCTGGTGCCCCGCGCGTCTCGAGATTATTCGCCACTGACGCGTCGTCTAGTGACTTCTGCCGGACGTCGTCGTCGTCGTCGTCAGGCCGAATGTTTTCGGGACGGGACACCACGCACCCACGTGTACTATCCGTCCGCGCGACATCCGGTCGTCGGTGACGGCGTCAGCAGCTCTCGACCGAGGCTGAATATCGAGCGATAAACGACAAATGACATGGATTTCCACGGGCACGTTTCGCGAGACGTGGACGAGAGATCGTCGCGGATCGTCGTCGACGAGCCGGTTCCGCTTTCGCGGCGCGAATAACGCGCGCATTCCGCCTCGTCATTTCGGCGTCCCGCGTTCTCTCGCTTTGTGTCTGTGCCACATATTTATTTCCCCGACGAGGGCACAAATTTTCCACTCCCTCGTGCGCCGAAAACGCGCGGGAATATCGGACCTCGTCTCATTCTCACGCTACGAATATCGAGCGGTTACGATTTGGCTCGCGTTCTCTCTCTCTCTCTCTCTCACTCACTCTCCCTCTCTCTCTCTCCCTCCCTCTTTCCTTCTCTCGCTACAGCTTTTGGCACGAAGTTTCGTCATCCGCCCAGAGACGCGTTCGAGAGACTCTCGCTCTAAAGGCGCATCTCGTTGCTCTAAAATTCCGTTCGTGGATTCATTCTTTCTCGATTGCATGACACTCTCGCGTAAGTGCGCTTTTCCCCCTTTCCGCCCCTCCTTTCACCCCCTGAGCACGGTCGATATTGTTGCACAATAATTTTGTCACCGCTGATACCGAGTACGAGATCGACGTGTCGAAATATATCGCACTTCCACGAAACCAGATCGATGAAGATTCAGACTCCAGCAGCCGAGAAAATTCATAAATCGATCGGAATTTGAGAATTTTATACGTTCTCTTTATCATACATGTACATAAATAATTCTAACGTTTTTTTTTTTGTTTTTTTTTAATCAGATTACGTCGCGCGAGAGAATTACGTTTCTTTATTATTGTAATCATACTACATTTAACTCCGAGATAAGATTAAGGTACGACGTAATCCGAAAAGTTAGTTAAAACTTTTTATCTTCGAAGAACACACTTGCACACAGAAACACTATTAAACACACCCGTGTTTTATGAAGGTATCGTTTAACGAGTCATAATAGCAGAAATTATTTAGCTGTCAATTGAAGCTCTTTTAATGTAATACGATCAATTTTTGCACGTCCTCTACATTTGTATGCATATGTTTGAAAATACGATCGGAGCATAATTGATTTCTCGCGGACACGAATATATACTCTTATTCGCCAAATATTATTGGCGACGAAATTATCGCGCAGTAATATCGACTCCTATCGTAGGTGCTTCAGAACCCTGTTCACATGCCGCATTTAGCGCTAAATCAGCTAAATGTTGCCATGCGGGATCTTCGTAGACAAAGAATGCTCGACCGTGTTTATGTCGTTAAACGTGGAAATGTGGGGATTTTTCGTTCGTGGACACGAGAAGATGGACATCCGAAGGACGATCGTGCTTTTTTTTTTTTAGTGACGTACAATTAAGAATTTTCATCGCGGCGATGGAAACGATGCGCGATAACGTATCAAAGTTCATTATTGTTAGAATTCTCTCTCCTCGCAAACGACGATAACGCTAATTTCTAGACACGTGTACTATCCCATTTCTGCTATCAAGCGAAAGAAAAATATTTGAATGCTTCAAATACTCAGGTTTTCATTAAACCGCGATTCGAGGAAACGTGAATTTAAAATTCCAAGATTATTAAAAAGCGTTTAACTTTGCGTCTACCTTTTATCGCAAGCAAATTTGACGAAATGATTAAATATTAATATTTAATTCTCCAGTAAACTAACATTGCAAATTGAATAAAAAATTCACTTAAATTTGCGTAGCAAAAAAAGTTTATCAGTTAAAAAACATTTTTTTTCGGCAGATATACGACTGTTTTCGAACGCCTCCTTTATTATGTAAGAACCTCGATTTCATTCGATGGAGTTTCGCCGCACGTATCATCGAAATATATTAGTGTAAAATTGCATTTCGCGTTGAACGGCAGGGGGAATGAGGGATAGAGCAAGAGAGAGAGAGAGGGAAGGAATATTCCAGCGTTGGAATACGAATTTTATTACAGAACGATAATCAAAAAATACGTGCGTTTAATCGCAAGCCGATCGATGAGATAATTAAAACGACGCGCGAGTCGTTCGAATTTGCAATTCTCGCGCCTCGTCGATTCGATCCGACCGCGGAATCGTAGAAAAATAATTCGCGTAAAATCGGCACGACGATGATTAAGTCGACGGAATGTCGGCGCACGCGACATTTATACATTCCCGAATATCCGCGAGGACGTAAACACGATACGCAAATATTATATAAAAAAAAAAAAAAAAAAAAGAAGAAACCGGCGTCGAGTGTATCGATGACAACCGCGCGAATGGAAACAACAAACGCGAACGGAAACGACGCCTCGCTCGCGTCGCTCGTCGGCGAGACGAGCTTCCGATTGTACACAAAAGTCGTAATTGGCGCGGCAAAAATTGATCGTCGATTTACAAGAGCGTCGCCGAGGAACAAGCTTGATTTTAATCGAGGAAAAGAGAAAGAGAGAGAGAGAGAGAGAGGCCGGTCTCTCGCTCGCGCGTTTGAAAATGCTCCGCACACGCGACGTATTCGAAAAATAAACCGTCTTCGCACGATCCGTCCCGCTTCTCGAAGCTTCGGCGTGACGCGTGTAGAGCGAGAAACGCGGCTTCCGTATCCGGGCGACTCGCCGGTCGCGAGCGCCCGGAATCCGAGCCGGGATTTTTCGCGCCAACCATGACGATTTAACCTGCAAGGCCCCCCACGCGAGAGCGAGAGAGAGAGAGAGAGAGAGAGAGAGAAAGAGAGAGAGAGAGACGAGGAGGACGACTGTTTAATCCCGGCCGGGTTCGTTATGCGCGAGCGTATGCTCGCTTTCCGAATCGATTCCGCCGACACATTCGACGTCTCTCGTAACGAGAACTCACCTGCAGGCCGGCCCTAGCCGAGCGCGAGACCGCCTTCGCCTTTGCCTTGCCCGAGTCCTTGCCCGCCTTACCGCCAGCCTGTTCGGACACAAAAATTCAGGGTTAATTCGCGTGCTGCGGCCGTGAAACTCCGTCAGTGCGTTGGGCAGGCTCCGCCGCGCGCGAGGACGTCGGCGACGGCCCCGGATGGCCGTCGCGCGTGTCAAAAACACGCGATGATACTCACCATTGCGCGACGTGGATATTCGACACACACACAGCACGAAAGACTTGCGAGCAGTCACGAACGACGCCGTCTAAACGCGACGAGCCCGCCAAATGCGCTTGGCGCTACTGACGCGTCCCGCGGTCGCACCACGTGACCGCGCGCCAGCCAATGGGAGCCGAGCGAGCCGAGCGCCGCCTGGCGGCGCACTCCGCGAGTTGGCGAGTCTGCCTGTTACAAGCGTGGATCGTGGAGTTATTGTAGATGGACGTGCGCGTTACTGTATAGGAAGCGAATGGATGACGTTAGCGAGAGAGGACGATGCTTTTCTTGCCTCTTTCGATTATGCGTTAGAAAATACGTTGGATTTTCTAGTATTCTCTCGCTTCGGATTTTGTAATATTCTACTATTTTCGCGGATACTGATTTCTCGCCTCCTATGAAAACGCACGTCTATGTATAAATTTGAGTCTATGGCGATGACGATTCCGACCAAAATTCATGCGCGTACGTGTACTTACATGCGCGAACAATTCCTGGTCGCCTCGTCGTATACTCGTTTCGTTTGCTCGTCAATAAGCTACGACGGGTCGTATGAATAAAAATGAAGTAAACAGAGGGAAAAACGAGGTAGAGTATATTTACTGTAATTCGTTTATGTCGCTCGATATGAAAAAATGTATATAAATATCGAGCTGTATATTTTGTTGGGGACATCCTCGACAATCAAAATGTTTAGAAATATTGGAGTGTGACGTTACACGTTTACAAGCGTACGTTGCGATGAAATACATACTAGCAACTAGGTAATTGTAAAATCTATAATTGTCGATTTCATCATCATGTATATATACATATACACTTTTATATATCCAAATATTAGAAATAGATTTCGATATTGTGTATATTTTTTACAATATCGAAATCCATTTCTAAAATATTTGCGGATAGGTATGTAAAAATTGAAAACAATTTTGCTATTATGAGAACAGATGTTTCAGTCTGATTACAAACAAAGCTGTCTTTACACACTTGATACGACAACGTGAATATTTTTTTGACTTATAAATATATGTTTACAAAATTTTATCTGACTATTATTTACACACATATATACGTTAATTAAAAAAATATAGAACATTTTTTTAACCAAAAAATGTATTTTCATACATTAACAAATATCCTAATTTGGGAAATAATAGAGATTGAAATGCAACACAATATGTAGGATTGCTGATTAGAATATTCTATGATATTTAATTAATCTCTTTAAATGAATTAATTTATACATATTATTGGTACAATAAAAAAAGAACGGATAAAAATATAGATTTATAAATGTCTGGAATAAAAAAAATGTGCATCGCGATATTTTGCGTAAAAATAAAAGCGAACGAACGGTATTGTTGCTCTTTATTGCGACTTAGGACATTGAAAAAGGCAGTGATTTTATACAAAAACATTGTATATAGAAAATATATTGCTACAGAGTAACATGAAAATGATACTAGAAAGAGCGCGAACGCGAATTTTTTATATTAAATCTTGTGACCTAACGTGTATAATAATATATTTCAGGACAATATACATTTTTTCTCGGAAGACATTCTCTCTGGATCCCTGAAGGAGAATTAATTAATTTCTACGATCAATTCTATGGCTTCATTGTTGGACGGCGAAACGGACAATTAATAACATATGGCGGGACGATCACAAAATGGCGAGTAAGTATTATGTAATCCATCTACTATTCCAATATCTCGACTTGTCGATATAAAATATCCAATACTCCACTTTAATTTATTTTTAACTTTACAGTCGCATGACTAGATATAATTTCTCGAAAAGTTCCTCTTCCTTGAAATGACAAATTCTATTTATTACAATTTACTTGTCGTTTACGTTTTATTTATACTCTTATAATCAAGTTACATCTCTTTATTCAAATTCTCTACATTGTTTCTAAATCGAATCCTTTATATTTCTCCGTCTGGGAAGAGCAAATATCTGCTTGCTTTAGTCGTACGTATAGTTCCCTTGAATCGTACAGTTCCTTTGACTTGAATTCGAATTAATTGAATCATGCGACTGTAAGTATCGAGATGCATCAGCGATGCATTCGATTGGAATTTGAATTCTCCCCATATATATCCGCGCAATCGGCCGTAATTGCGAATTGCATCGATGAGGCTTATATTATATTGAGGAGCGCAGTTGAAGCAGTTCGATTGTCGGTTGCTTGGCACGTAACGAGGGGACCTGGGTACATACATCGGCATCGAGGCGATGCCTCGTCCCGCGGTATCGACTCGTCGATGCGTGCGGACCTGCGTGCTGCCGCATCCGCACATGCGTGTTCGCGACGATTTTTCCCGCCATTTTTATCCGCCCTCCTTTCCCTGCCGTGTTCTGTTCTGCCCTGCCCTGCCCTTTCCTTTTCTGCACGTCACCTGCGCCCTTCGCGCCTTCCTTGACCGTTTGCCTATCCTACTGCTATTGTATTCGTATATCCCGATCTATTCTGTCTCGTCTTGTCGCTCGCGCTCGTCTTTCCTCCTCCGAGGAGAAGGATTCGGCGTCTCTCTAATACTCGTGATTCGCCTCGGCTAGCTCATCGCATTTGTCATCTATATCGTCCTGAAATTATAATTATTTATGGTAGAATTCATTAAATTACGCGATGTCCGAAAGATAATGTAATACAGATGCCCGATTAATCCAATGTTTTAAATATATATATATATATATATATATATATATATATATATATATATATATATATATATATATATATATATATACACCCTTTACATCATTAATATTTTAGAATTGCATCAAAGAATATTTTCTTTAAAAAGTAAGCAGAAATCACACATAAAATATGAATGGAATGTGAATGGAGAGTAAGAAATGTTTGACATTGTAATACTTTGTAATAAAATATTCTTTCTTGTTCAAGGGAGAAATAGAAGAAAAAGATAGATACCTCGTTGAGCTCTAGACATTTGCCCCACTCGATCAGCGTGATCTTATGATCGTTGTTGGTGTCGCAGGAGTCGAGGAAGGGTGCGATGCAGTGTTCTAGGGCCATTAAGGGTGCCCTGATCGGGAAAAGTTCGTGCCTGGACACAGCTCGATCGTGCGGATGTCCGTCCAGATCGCACCACTTCCAAATAGCCGCGTTTGCCCAACGCAATGTGTGATTGGTTTCGGCCTCGCGTTGCATCTTCAGATAATGCGATGGTAATTCTTGACGATCCGCCAAATCCCGCATGATGTTGAACAACCAGTCGCGCATTCGTCTGGGAAAATCAGCCCGGTCCTCTTCCTTGCACATCTGTGCGCATCAAGAAACGAATTTAACACTTATAAAGTGATAGCGTTCTGAAAAGATTTCGTGGAAATCGATAAGTTTTATCTCTGAATTATTTTTTAAGCTTGAATCTACGAGGGCAACTACGTCAGTTAATAAAAATATTGTTTGTTATCATAGCAATCATGCAACATTATTTTGCTGTATAAAAACAATAGATAAATAAATCACATTGATAAATTGGAGCGCGTTCGTTGTAACGAAACAAATATTTGGGGAAAAAAGAAATAACAAAACATCGAGATTTGTAAAACCTACGGTTTTTTCTCTTTTAATCAAGAAAAAAATAAATGCTTGTTTATAAAAATAGATAGTTGCACAAACAGTATTTTTTTCTATAGAATAAAAAATTCGTAAAACCGTGACTTTTGTAGTTAACAATATTTTGTTCGTACAAAAATACGATTTTTAAAAAACGATGATAGATATTTTTTCTAAAAGATAATTAAGGTTTCAGTTTCCCAGTTATAATTAACAATATACCGGTATATAATATATATAAGCGTCATACCTGTAACGGAATAATACTCACGGGCATCTGTCGGCATTCGCCATAATACTCGATGTGTACATGTTGATAGTCGGGACCCCTACACCTGGCGTCACCGGTATCGCAAAAGCAACGTGCTTGATAGACCTCACAGTCGCTGCCGAAGGTCTCATTGTAATTAGTGCAGACCTTGCGGCGTGGATCGACCTCCTGGTTACACAGCTCAACGCAAATACACTCGGCCGTTCCCTCCTCCGTATTCTGAAATAAAATTCGAACAAATTCCATGAAACATTCTCCTTTTTTTATTATCTATCATAAAAAGAATATTAAATTCTTATAGGATATTGAAATATTAGGATGCACTCTTTCTTATTCCTCACATTTTATTCATTTTTGCATTATTGAATATTAGACATTGGAGATGATCTGATGAATACAAATGAACACAAATGAGAGTTTCAAGTTTTTTTTAAGAATCTTAAAGATTAAAAAATTTAATTTAGGGTCAATTATCTAGGAAGTATTTTTGAACTAATTATCTGCAACACGCGCGAATTAATGTTCAGCGTTTGTCATGTTGTAGGGCAATTATGGTAGATTTGTATAAAAATGAAATATTTTCTTTTCGACGAACCTTGCAAACGCGACCAGCGCCGCAGTGTTTGTCCAGGCACGGGTCTGCCTGGAGCTGCTGCTTCGATCCAGCCTCGTTTCTGCCATTTTCGAGAGTGACCTCAGCGTCCTCCGCCTCCTCGGCTATTTCATCAGCTTCCAGCATGTTCATGATCTCATCTTGTATAGGTGCCTCCGTTGTGGTCGTGCGATATCGGTGTTTCCGTCTGCGCTGAGAATCGATTAAATTCGATTAAATGCTCTTACTCTCTCTCTTGTATTTCATATTTTGAACAATAGAAGATGTCCCAAGATAATTTTATATATAATCAATATTCTCTCCTTCTTACAGAGGATTGTATCATAAATTATTTATGTGTAACACGGGATACTTGAAGAAAAGTATTTTGGAAGCATTTGAAAGGCGAGAATTCAATTTAATTTTAACATTTTGGAATTCAAAAATGTTTTCACGTACGACTTTGAAATTGAAAAGACCTAATGACAACTGATTATCGTGTCATTAAATGATGATAGAAATACCTGGGCGGATACATCCACTATCAGCACCGCCAGGAGCAACGCGATCAGCAGTAGCTGCAGCTTCGTCCGCATTGCGATTTCTATAACAAATAGATATCGATGAATATGCGCGACGCATCTTCTTTAAATTAATGAATATTAAAGTTAATCTTAAAGTTTCGCAGCATCTGAAACGCAAATCGTATTATTAGTTATCGATGCAAAACAGAGAGCTTAATTCAAACTGTATCTTCTATTTTCGCTCTTCTATTTTTTAACAATCTTGATCTTAACTTCAGTTATCAACGCCTCATTCCTCTTTTAACTGACGCAGAATAATTTATCAGAAAAATTTCCGACAGCCTTTGAATTCTGCATATTTCAACACCGTGAAAATAAAAACCAAAAAAATCCAGATTTTTCTCGGAACAGATCCAAGCCTCGAAGCGGGTTAATATCCCTGGGCTAAATCGAGTGCAAGCGAGTCTGAATGTGTAAATAAATCAACCATCCATTTCTCGCGTCCAATGCTTTATTACCACGACGTTCTCAATTGACGTTGGCACGAAAGACGAGAGAGAGTCGTTCGAAAAATCTACTTAAAGTCGACTGCGTAACGCGAACACGCATGCACGCACCGATGAACGCGGGTCAACCCGAGACCCACGATAAATCTCGCGGGATCTTAATAGGAGCAACGAAGCGATAACCCAGATATATATATATATATGTAAATATATTTGAAAATCAAGAATCGTTTCACACAGAGATACACCAGAGTCTCGAGCGCGCTTTTAATCCTCCGCGAGACTTCGTTCCTTCATTCTTGTCACCTTTCGCGGATGCATATGACATAATAATCGGTTACGGCGTCGCCTCATTTCTGCATTTTATCGACGACGAAGGACGATACGGTGTAACGTCAGCGATCGCATGCTGCCTTCGTCAGCGATGAAATTTGAACACGATCGAATGCGCTTTATATATCTAAATAACTTGACAACAAACATATTTAATATATGAATGTTACACTTAATTATAAAATGCAATACTTTTGAATTTATAAATAAAATTGATACTATTATATATATTAATATATTATATACTTTGCCTAGTTGTCACATGTTGTTTTCATATTGTAAGCATATTGATCTTTTGCTTTAATAAATGAAAATTTTATATATATTTTAAAAAATCAAAGAGAGAGAGAGAGAGAGAGAGAGAGAAAGAAAAAAAGAGCGATGACAGATCAAATGCACACCGCATGTGAAATATTTACAAAAAGCTCAAGATGTATACATGTCGTTGGAACGTAAATATCCGGTGATGATGTCATGTATAGGTGTTCGGTTAATAAAACAAGAATTTCCGAGTCGTCATCATGAATTAAACGCATTATACGTTCATCGTCGAGCTTTAATTCCGCTTAATTGCATTGCCTAATTGCATTGCTTAATTGTATTTGAGATATAGTCCATGGTTGGTTAAGTCAATGTTGAATCAATTCATGAATTTTGTAGCCAAAAGACAATGTGAGCTACGTTTTTTTCATTTCTCTGATATGAAAAAAGATCATAGATATAATAGGTGTAATTATGTTATGAGAGATAATTACCACAATCCACGAATAATTGATGGAAATTCGAAATTTGTGCTTATTCGATGTAATTTTCATTAAATATAATGATCCTCATTTATAGAAAATTAATTCTCCAAAATGACATTTTTTTTTATTGAGAAAAAAATTGATATAAAATAAAAAGAAAAACATGTTCGTATTCGATGTATGTTATACATACACAGATAGCATTTTTTCTTATAGAACTTAGCCTGAAATTGTGATAATTGTAGAACAATATGGTATTGAAAGAATTTTAGAAGAGTTTCTTTAATTAATATATTTATCACAATAAAAAAATATTAATATCTACCATAATAAGATATCAAATATGTTCGATTAAATTTACTATGTATATATTAATATTTTTTTCTCCATGTATAGTTACTTTTGAATTTCCATCCAAAATGCGTACAACATATCCTTATAATTTCTTTCGATATAAATAAATAAAATATATATTATTCAGATTTAATTCATCAGATCATGAAAAAAATGAGAAACGAGAACTGCATTAATTAATGGCGTAATGTGTACATCCAGAAAGACTGCTAATCTTATCAAAACAGTCGCAACTTTCCGCGAAAAATTGCGTAATGCTTCATTTCGGTGGCTATTAATACGCAACTACGTACAGACTGAACGAGAGAAGGGTTACAAGTTTCCACATAACGGGTTAAGGCCTCGATCTTTTTTACGCGGAGATGAGATGCTGGATGCTGACTCGCTCGACATCATCACCGGCGTTGCAGCGCGTTCGCGGTGCGTCGCGCGGTTCTCCGGAAAGCGTAATGTGCGTAGGAATCGCACGCGCGGCACATGGCCCCTTTTTTTTATCTCGACGTGGGCGAATCGTCCGCGTGGGCGGACGAAAGGCGAACGAGAATTTTATTTTGACAAATAATCGACATCTTGATTTTATATGATTTAATATAAAATCCGCAATCAGATTATTATTATTTAAATGGAAATAATGAATGAATTTGTGTTACGAATGGAATCTGTAACATTAATTGATTGATCATTGTGCGCAAACATAGAGATTTTCACAATTTTAATTAAACTATACAATGCAAAATTAATTTTAATTAAAACACAATGCAATAGACCTAATGTTATAAAACAGATAAAATGCGAAGTGTAATTGATTTCGATGTGGATTTTAATGAAAAACAAAACGTGTACGAATAAATATAATTGCGAAATATAAATAATTTCAAATAATTTCAATCAATTAAAAGCGCTGCACGAATAAATTAATATGAAACAAATATTTTCGACATTACTCTTCAAAAAATTTACATATTCCTATATATCTATATAATATGCGTATACATGTAGAGACATATATAGAATTAATTTTATTAATCGAGAGTGATGTATAGATTTAAAAAATGTGGATGGATGTTTTATCAATGTAAAATAAAATAATGTAGATGAAGTGTGCTGGAAATACGTTGTTTTCAAGATTTTATCCGCTTAGGTCGACCATTACGCCCACGAAACATATATAATCCAATAAAACTTGGAACATCAGGAACTCGTCTTTCTCATGTTCAAGTTAGCTCCACCAACGCGGAATTAAAAGTTAATTAGTTTGCTGATGAACTATTCGGGCTGAATGCGTTGAATTCGATTCATGTAATTGCTAGTCCAATTTGCTCATCGAGGAAGTTTATACACAAATTAATATTAATATGAATATGTATGGAAAATATACAAGAAACTGTACAGGATATATGTGTATCTCCTAATGAAATTCATTTCTACGAAATTATTCTGGAAAAACAGAGTTGTAAGAATTTATTGCATAATTATGTAATGTGATGATATGTAGTTTAATCAAGTTTTCAGAATTCAGAAATTATCTGAGCTGTAATAGTCAAGATTTTAAATCTTATCATCATTTTTGAATCTTGTTTTTCAAGGAAATGATGATTATCTATGCATTTTCTTCAAAGGAATAAATTTTCAAAAAAAAAAAAACGTTTGCAATAACTTTTTTATCGATCTTAATCTTGAATTCTTGCATATTATGACATGAAAAGAGGTCGAATAATTGAGAGAATTAGTCTAGTTCTCTAAGTTATAACATCACAGAAAGACCACATTATTGTTCTATTTTAAATTGTCTATATTAATAGAAAATTATGAATATCGTATTTTACGCTATTTTTCCTATACGAATTAATTTTTTCTCATTTATAACTCTAGCATTATGAGTGCATTATTTTAATAAGTGCTATAAATGCAAATATTTTTCGTTAACAATTATTATCAATAACATCTTTCTTTTCTAAGTCTGCGTATAACGAGAGTATCTCATCTATCAATGAACAAAGGATGTTGGATTTCCGTCTCAGAAAGGATACGATTTTCGAATAATATGAAAGAGGAGATAAGTTAGTTGTGACTACGCCTGATATAAAACATTCATCGTATGCAGTTCTGTAACTATGACTCATAATAATACTATGTTTAAGGGACGCTTTTGGGACGTAATTAATTTGAAATATATTATTTTCGTTTCAATCAATTTATTTGTGTGTAATTTGGAATATTATATGTTTATTTATTTTATATGTGAATATTATATGTTTATTTATTTTATTTATAAATTGGCGCGCGCGTGAGAGAAAGTTTTAACAGAAACTTAGGTTTGTAGAAAGTTAAAGAAATTTCGTTAAAAAATAAAAAATGGTGAACTTTTATAAAAAGATGTTTTATATATATGACGGTCCTTTTATACTATATATCTATAAATTCTGACCATAGAAGCGATCCATTGTCAGTCTATTATCATTTCCGTGAGGGTCTGCATGTATTTTTTTGTCATTCTAACACGTCCAGGTACCTGTTTCTTTTATTACTTTTACTTTCAAAGTTGTAAATGTTATTATTATGTTCTATAGATTATTAATAAAGATCGAATTAGTCTGAAATATTTTTCTGTACAGGCCTTCGTGTTTTAATATATAAAAGTAATCTTTTTTATAATATAATAGCAAATTAGTTATCAAAAAATTGTCCAGATTAATGAATTTAGATATGAAATTAATTTTAGATACGAAATGATTCAAACTGTATATAAAAATACCGATAATACAAGATATCGTACAGTAAAAAAACATGCATTTGGATATAAATGATAAATTATCTACACATATTAATTAACACAAATAACAACAATAATGATCAAGAATATCTTGAATGCAGAGATCGCACGATAGAGTCAAGATCTTATCTTGGCAAGACAAGAAGGCGCAATATAAGTCGATCGTACCTCGCATTGGCTTCCTCGTAAGGCGCTTTCTCTGTGGTTCACTCGGCGCTTCTCTTTCTCAAGAAGGATCGAGAAACAACCCTCCAAATCGGCCGCTGGACCGGTACTGACTGCGCCAGAGGCGCGTCGCAGCATCGCGCCGAGTTGTCCGGAGCGCGCGGCCAGAGCGATGATCTCATCTCTTGCGTGCATTTTTTCTTTCTTCCTACACCCTCGTCTGATCTTTCCGCCGCGTATGCTGTCACTTTTATGCATCCGTCTTACGCAATGCATCTTACGCATCCGTCTTACGACCCGCGCGTAACAATTGTCTCGGCGAGATCTCTATTTTCTTCATCAGTTTCCTGATATTCCTCTGAGGGTCGCTTTCATTTCCAATCAGACATTTTCTGACGCTCTATAATAAAAGTTGGCGTGAATTTAATAATCAAATCGGAATGAAATTCACTGCTGGTTTAATCATGCCTATATTTTTAAAAAATTATTATGCTTTAATGAACACATTCACATCTTGATTTTAAGATTGAAGAACCTGAATAATTTGTTACGTTGATATCGGCAAAAAATTGAAAAATCTTGCTTGCATTATATCTAGTTTCATTAATGACATATGACAATAAGATTTAATTTATATGAACAAATTTCTACATCATACAGGGTGTATCTAAATAAGTGCGAAACATTTTAGGAATTCTTTGTCGAAAATTATAAGGGGGATTTCTTATATAAACATATACTCTTATATTCCTCCCTGAGGAGTTACACTTTTCTAAATAGGGAGATAAAAATTAAGTTTTTATTTTTATTTCTCAAATTTCAGACAAATTAAGAAAATGAAACTTGCTGAATTTTTCCGTTTCATTTTTTTCATGTCTGAAATTGGAGAAAAAAAATAAGTAACTTTTATATGTTTATATAAGAAACTCCTCTTAATTTTTTACAAAGAATCATCTAAAATTTTTCGCACTTATTTAGATACATCCTGTATATATGCATATTTTCGATCATCAATGATCGAACGATTCTGTAATGTGCTTAGCAATTTCGGCAAAACCGATTGCGGTCACCAGAAATGTGACTTATTTATGCGCAAGTCAACTAATAAAATCAAAGGTATGTTGCGATAAATAAAGAGATGCTATAATAAGGATTGTAGTAAGGTAGGTATATGTATTATACTAAATGCAAAAAGTTTACAATACATCTGATGTTTGTTCTTTTCATTTTTTCCCCTTTAACAGTATCTTTTTTTTCTTCTTCTTCTTTATATCGCAGTAACGTTGTTTTCAATTGGTTGGTATACACACAAACTGGCCTGGCAGACCGAAATAAAAATGTATGCTACAAAAATTCATAACTTATTAACCACCATTATTATTACATATTATTATTATTACATTATTATAATTATTTGTATATTTTTTCTGCATATTCTTTCCTTCGTTTTCATTATTATATATATATATATAATATATATATTTATCTTTATTATTAATTATTATATAATAATAGTTACTTAAAAACGAAAACATTCACACTAAAAATTTGCAGAGCTCTCTTTCAAGTATGTAAAGCGATGATCTCGCGTGAACTACAGTTTTTTGAACACGTTGTACTTGAACACACGGATATGCACATGGATAAGGATGTAATATGGAGTCAAACGGTGTGATAGTAAATATGTAGAATATTTTATAGTAAGTGGCAGGCGAAAATTTCGGAAGTCATATAATCTGCAATTGCAAATATTAAATATAACTACTATATTATCGTCCAGCGTAAAATATTTTTTTTTCTCTCTCTCCCTCATTATCTTTTTTCTTTAAATATGTCAATTGCGCAATTGTTACTGACTGAAGTACTAGATATATTATATTTATATAAATCGGCCTCTTAAATTGGAATAAAAATGATTATGGAGATATATCGTCTATTTTCCGTGACGTTTAATGTACAAGTGGATATAGAATTAGAGACGATTTTTTTTCTTATTCATACAAATATTCCTTTAAATATGCTCTACATATGTATACAAAGTCAAAGAGCAACTGGCATTTTATTTTATTTGAACTCTCTTCTTCTATAGGCGCGTATACCGGCATCATCTCTTGCATATGGTAAAGGAAAAATATTTTACCACTGCAGTATCATACGTGAATTTTGTTTAAATCAACGAATATTTGTTGAATAAATTTGCACTTTTGCAAAAATTTTACATTAACCAAGCACTTAATATTAGCACGCCAGTTTTGTGCATATTCTGTTTTGATGTTAATTGTATTTCCTTGGGAATTAGCAGGAAGCATGCATATATATATATCATTCTAATTTCCGTTTTAATTTGCATTTATATCTATCGCTCATAAAATATATAATATAAATAGGAGAAAAATAAGATTTTTAATTATACCGCAAAAAATGTCCATGATTTCCAAGGAATTACAGATGTTAATTTCAGTCAAAATGTTAAACGAGTTTATAACGAGATAATAACGCGATAAGAACGTGTTCTATTTAGTTACGTGTTTTAAATGGTAAGATGTCACGTGTAAATGTTATAAATATCTTATTTTTATTTTCGAAGAAGTATAAGCTACGGAATAGGATGATCTCGAAAAAGGATCCTTCATATTTTAATTAAATTCATATTTTTTATGACATTTGAAGTGAAAATTAATTATGATCGATGCACAAACATACAATATTTGTGAAAGATATATTTAAATTAATATTTTGTGTTATGCTATATCTTAATTCTTGTAAAAATTCTATATAGGTACTATAAATCGTTAATCACATGATAAACGTTTATCATATCTTTGAAAATGAAAGCGATACGAAAAAAAAAAAAATGATTCCTCTGCATTTCGAGATCCTCTTTTTTAAAAAATCACATAAAATATACGCGATATATTTTATTTTCTGCCGCAAGGAAGAGAGAAGTGATAAAGTACTTCACATCCTGTATATTTGTTTCAGATTTAATGATAAATTTTTCTTTCTTTTTTTTATAACAATACTAAAGTGCCAATTATACGTGATAACTGTCGACAAAAATCCGGAAATACGTTTCCGCGTACTCTAAACTAACTTAGAAAAGATTTGATAGATCGAATCTTCATTTGTTTTCTACGTAGCGTTTAATATCTATAACGAAATATAGATATAAGTTTAAAATTGAAATGCGTTACATTATCCAACGAGGACGCATATCCGAGAAAAGGATGCTTAGCGGCAAATTTTGTTCTTTCTGGTTTTTTTTTTTTTTGTTTTCGCTGATAATCGAAAATAGTAAACCGCAGAAGCGCAGCCACGCGAAACCAATCTCTTTATCCGTTTCTAGACCAGAGTGGCCGCACCATCGTCATCGTCTTCGCCGTCCCGGGCTCTATTAAAAACGAGACATCAATATCGCGCATAAGTAATACTACATGATGAATATTATTCGCTAGAGGTTGCATGTTAAAAAAAATGTAACATTAAACAGGATGATAGGGTCCCGGGCAGGCGCGCCGAGGAGTCGCAGAAACGCGGTCATCATGTCCCAGACACACAGAGGTATCGCACCGCATTTTGTTTTCATTTTCGATTACAAACTACTGCGGTTGTGGAATCGCGTTCGTTCATGATCAACGTTAAAAATCCCTAAGATAATCTCGACGAAATGCAAGCTGACAAACTTACTTTCGTTCTCTCTCATATACACATCATACATACAAATATTCGTTTTCTCTCTCTCTCTCTCTTTCTCTCGCGACATGCTTTTTGTCGACATCATAAATTTAGTTACTGATTGCAACGCTGCTCTACTCCTCATCTTTCGACGCGTCGATCATTTACATTTGTTGTCGTATCGCCGTATCACCTTGGTTTTCTCACGACTCTGATTCCCTGATATTTTCGACACTTCGAAAATTATACAATAGTTTCGTAGAGGTGAGCTGGATGAGGCTGATAGGCCAGGATAGACGCATTGCCCAGTCACTAATAATTGCAGAATTCTTTTCGCAGACTACTTAAACTGTTGCTGACTAGAATTCTCATTTTGCTATATTCTAAATAATTTAGTGCATATGAATGTATTGTGTTGAGAAATATGAATAGATTGTATTATCTATAAAGAGAAATTAGAAAACATGTATTCCAAGAAAGTACCGCTCATGTAGTTGTATGTGTATTCGTCTAATTGAATCATGAAATATTTGCATAACAAATCGTGATTTATAACAAGAGCAGAACAGTGTATCACAATTTTATTTTATGGAATCTGTACGAATTTGTGTCGCTAGTATATTCCTGACTTTAAGTATAGATCCAATATTGCATAAAATCCCACAGAATAGTCTTCTTATAGAATCGCAGTATTACCAAGCAAAAGTTTTATATTTCAATTAAACGAATATACAATTGTACAAACAGCATCTCTCTTGAAATATGATATATTCTAATTGTTATCAATGACAAACTCGCGAAAGACTTTAATAAAATGGCTAAAAAGAAAAAACTACTAACATATAGTTTTTTCTTTATCGAGTATAGTTTTTGATGGTTGCAGTTCCCGTTTAATTTCGGCGTATCGCGAATTCTGCGATTATTAGAAAACTTGACCTTGGCCGAAACACTACCTCGTGACCGTAAATTTAGCGATACAACGTCAGATCATGCGCGTGCGCGATTCTTATTAATTTTACCTAAACAAAAGTAATAATAATAATAATAATAATAAAATAATAATAATAATAATAATAATAATAATAATAATAATAATAATAAGTATATATGTGAAGGAAAGGGAGGTAGATGCTATGATAGAAAGGTTCTATAAAATGGATCAGAATCGTAGCGTAAAAAGATACTGGAAAAAATAATGATTCTTAGAAGAAAACTGAGAAAAGAAGAAAGGGAGGGAAGAGACCAGGAAAAAGGTAGGCTCGCGAATAAACAGTTCTGAACTGTAACAAGACGAGGCCAGAGTTGCGGAAAAACGGCGAGACCAGATGTTGCAGTCTAGAAGTATCGTCCTCTTTACGATCGATACTGGTCGATCGATGATCGGCAACAAGAATAGAAAAAAGAACGTGTAGGAAAAAAGAAGCTTCTTTTTCCTTTTTTTTGTTTTGCCGCGTGCAACCGGGATACAACTTTAGGATTTTATATAGTTGTTACACCGGAATTCGTTCCATGCTATCTATTCAGATTCTTCAGCTGCGACAACGGGACGGTTTCGTCGACGGTTGTCGAGTCGACTCGAAAGTGTACAAGACTACGCGACAGCGACACTCCGTTTTTTCCGATGCAATCTTTGATCACCCCGTAGTTACATGATACGTGTAATAAACTTTGCTCCGGTGTCATCTCGTCTTGCAATTCGGTGAGTAGAATGAAACGCGCGAATAATATTCTAAAACCTCACAAAAAGAGAGTTCCGACACATTTTCCCGATTTCAGATCACGTCCCGTCGCCTCTTCTCATTCATTTAAATTTTCCACACTCCGACAACGTTCTCCATTAAGCTTCCTTTGGACTTGTCGCACGGCTGCACGTGTGTATACATTTACGCTCCGTTTGTATGCTTGGCATCGTAGTCCTGCGGGATTGCCCGATTGTCGATGTACGAAGGACGAACTCGAACCGATGATCATCGGCTCTTTGAAACTTACAACACATACCACTGAGCTCGAGGTCTCACACGAGAAAAACGTAATCCTCGTCCAAGATTTCGACGAAGTCGTGTCTTCTGATGTTCGAGATCGTGTTTCGTACGACTTCCTTTTTTGGGCTACGTCATCTAGTATATATCGGCTGTTGTTGTTGCTTGTCAAACATTGTTGCAAGCGACATTTAAGCGTATGAGGGTGGCGCCGGTGATAAGGTCGTGCGGCATACGAAATAGTCTTGGATTTCATTTCTCGAAATGAAGATGGCATATGCATGATGGTACTGTTGTGACTTTTACTCAGTAGAGAGGAAATTAGGAGGTTGTTGCGATTGTTGCGTACTGTGGCCGGTATTAGCGACGGTTCTGGTAACCAGGATTGCTTGGATTGCCCGGTTGCCGCATGCCACCGCCGCCCCTGCTGCCATCGCCGCTCCGTGAAAATCCTCCACGACCACCTCGTGGATGTTGTCCGCCTCTCATTACGCCTCCAGGTCCTCCTGAGATTAAATCAATAACGAATCAATAAATTGAAAGTTTTATTAATCTCAATAAATTGGAAAATTAATCTAGGGATTACCTGGTCCACGTTGTTGTTGCTGTTGTTGCTGCTGTTGACCGCCCATGGAACGCATACCGCCATCGCCGGAGTTCAATCTTCCGCCACTGCCGTCCATCATCCTAGGCCTCACCTTCTTTTCTTCCACATTCAACTTTTGTCCACTCTCATCGGGATAATAAATAGGCTAAAACAATGGCACAATGAGAGCAAAAAATTCCATTTTTATTAAACACTTGCCTAAGATATTGTCGACATTTATTTAAAAGATAAACGTACCAGAGAGTTCAACACCTTTGTCACAACTTGTTGATCTTCGAACGTAATAAATCCATAATTAGGCACTCGCGCAGTGTTGTTTCCGCCTTGAGGGCCTTTGCATCTGTCGTTTGATTTACTGTGCACGCGCAATTCAGCAACTCTACCATAACGCTCGAATACTTGGCGCAAATCATTCTCGGAAGCATTGTGTGGTAAGTTACCCAAGAAAAGTTGATGAGCATCGCTGTACTGTCCTGGTCTTGTGCCACGACGTTCTCCATCTAAAAAATATCATACGCAACAATATAATAAAAATATCTTGCAAGGAAAAAAAGATGAAAATTAAATAATTAATATCAAAATAATCAAATACATATACGTATATCTTATTACCATAAAGATTCTTTGAACAATCATTTTTTTAAATTATCAATATCTGTTTCATTTTTTACCTCTTTGTACCAGTCCTGCTCTCAGACCGCGTTGCTGCTGGGGGTGTTGTTGCTGTGGTGGCGCTTGATTTCCACCCACTCGATGCACCTGTTGTTGAGCTGCGGATACGTTGTTGGAAACTGACATAGAAGTCGGTACGTTATTTGCAGGATGCAATGGCGATCTGTCATCCAAGCGTAAATTCGTCATAGGTGGCTACAAAGAAAGATTTTATTATTCCTCATATTCTTCAGAAATCACAACGTCACATCAAGACATTTACCGGAGACATGGACAATTTAGGAGCTTGCGGGCTAGTAGCACTGGTGGTACTTGGGAAAGACTTTACTAAATTAGCATAAGTCTTGGGTCCGCTATTATTAACAGTGGTATTCGAAACTTGATGTTCAGGCTCGGTCTCTTGCGCGGACGCAGTAAATGATTCTGCTTCAGGCTGCTCATTTCTTTCCTCCGTCTGAGTCTGCGGTTCATTTTCAACTTGCTGCTGCTGCTGCTGCTGTTGTTGCTCACCGTTACTCAATTCTGCCTCCTGTACAAATTGGGACTGCGCGGTTGGTTCCGTTATATACGGATGCTGCTGGGCCGGAGATGGCGGCGGCGGTTGCTGCTGCTGCTGTGGAGGTTGTTGATTGATCACCTCCTCGTGCACCGTTCCATTCAGAACCTGCTGCATTACCGGATGAACCTGACCAATAGATTATAATATAAATTGTAGAAATTATATAGGCAATGTGCAAATTCAATTTATATTCAAATATATATATGTATACATCTTCTTCAACAATATATAATTTCTAGATTTCATTTTTCCTCTTTTCTCAACTCAATTGTTATACATTGTACAGAATGTTTACTGCATCCTCAATTAGTTGTTAATTTTTGCACAATAATACATCATGTTTTGTATACTAACATGTGGCTGTGGTGCCGCAGCGTAGTACATCGGTTGTTGTTGCTGAAGCGGAGGCTGCTGTGCCGGAATGAGAGGCGGTTGAGCTTGCTGCTCGGCAGCTTGAGTCGGAGCTGTCAGCTGTTGTGCCTGAGTCTGATGTTCATCTTCTTCAGGTTCAGATCGACCGATTTCCTCAACCTCTCTCTCGCCGCTTTCACCACCGTCCCCTCCGCTCACATCAGCTTCATCCTCCTCGGGGAATATCATGTCTTGGTAACGGAAGATATCGTTGTGCACATAGTAGGTTTTAGGAGCTTGTACCGCCAACACGAAAGTTTGCGTGAATCGACGCATTGGTTGTCCAGCGTTGGACAATTCTCCAGATACCTATAATGAAATGAATATATGTTAATAAGGTATTCTTGAAATTATAAATACTAAAAATTAAATATTTTATCACACAAATATGTCATTTTACATAAATTAAAGTACATTATCATGTCTAATGTAAAACAGAGTATTGATAAAACTTTAATGTCAAATGGAAATATAAAAATGATATATTTAATACATTTATATGTACGTATTTATTTCTCTTCATAGGAGAGAATTTGTGTAATTCTTTTATCTGATCTGATCTGATTGATATAAAGTTTACATAATTTACCTGAACAACAACTCCATTTTCGAGAGTAAGCTGAGAATCAACTTGACTTATTTTTGCATGACAATCACGAAAGTTCAGTTGTTGAATTTTCTGGTGTATCTGTTTTTGACCGATCGCCGGAATACACTCTCGATTGGAATCCAATCCTCCATGCACAAAGGAAGAATGCTGATTGTAGAACCTAATTCATAAAATTCATACACATTTTAATTGCGCAGTTGAAATATTCATTAAAAAAATAGGTTCAAATAAAATTCAAACTTTTATTTTGCTCTAATTGTGATCAGAAATTTATAGCACAGATAAGACTGGAATAAAATTATAGATAATTCAAATTACCTATGAAGATGGGCAGGAGCTTGATTCAGCAAAGTATAATATTGTCGGACAAATTCACGACCTACACTTTGTGGAGAAGGAGATGCCTCCATGACCATTTTCTTACTTTCTAACTTTTAAAGTGATATTTTGCTGGAAACAGCAAATTAAATGTTTAGTTGTAAAATCTTAAAATTATTAAGGCAGATATCTGAAACAAAAGAAAACATATTTATTAGAATATCATAATATAATATCAAGAATTGAAAAATTACTAGATTTTGTGCGCAGAACATATTGATAGAATTTTAATATAGTGCACAGAGGTTTTTTGCATAGCAACATAATATTCTAACAAGATAAAATTCATAAGACATTAATATATATTAAAAATTGTATTTATTATTATCAATAATACAATACAAATTACAATATAAAGTTGAGCAGTAATGCTATTATAGTTGAGCTATAATATCTGAATATAATTTTGCTTATCGCACATTGTTAGCAATATACAATTAATATAAAAAAATCAACTTATTATTGATTACACATGTACAAATTATAAAATTTCAGAAAATAAATTGCTAGCACAAAATTTCTTCAGCATTATTACTAATCATATATGCAAATATAAATACATATTACTTAACGAAATATATATATAAAAAAACAAGTGTGCATCATTTTCAATTATTTTAGCAATATTTTTTTCGAAAAAACATACAACTTTTATTACTAATTATCATATAAATATGTATTAACTACATATATTGTTCATTATTTAAATATATTGCTCATTAATAATTCGTTATTCGATGCCAATTGTATTTTAAACAGAGAATGATTTTATTCAAAACTACTCATTTTTTATATAATATAAGAATGATACATATTATTAAAAGAAAAATATATTCCAGCAATTTTTCAAGCAAAAGGATATAAATCCGAAAATCTTGAAATTTAAGATATACACGCATCTCCATGGGCATCCTTAAGCTATCTAATAAATCGTCTCGCGCGCAGGAGCTTATCCAAAATCACGTTTTATCACGTACATAGAACTCAAATAATCGGAGCGATATGGCATGCGGCAAACACAAAGGGACTGGCGACGCGCGTAGCGCATGGCAAAATTTTCGCATGCCATCTCCTCTCTCCCTCCCACGACTCCCTCCTTCTCTCTCTCTCTCTCTCTCTATCTGGCGATCCCGACCACGCTGAACCATAACGTACATATTCCGTAGCACGTGTCTCTCTCTCTCTCTCTCCCCCCGAGGAATCTATCTATCTAGAAAATTCGGTTTCCATTTGCATTCGAAAGGGAAAGAAAAAAATCCCAAGGAAAGTGCAGAGGCGGGCGAAGGAGCTCGCGTCCATCTCGCGGATGCGAGAGTGCGCGGTCGCGCCCGGTCGCTCGCGCAAGCATGGCGATGTCTCCCGACACGCCAACGCGAGCGAGAATAATCGAGAGAGATAGAGAGTCAAGGAAATCCACCGGGAGATCCGTTGGCGACGACGTCCCTCGAACGGGAGAACTCCCGCGAGAACTCCCGTCCGAGCCTCACACGATTCGACAACGTGGTCTCTCTCTCTCTCTCTCTCTCTCTTTCTCTCCAGTCTCTCGCGACGGGAGTCGGAGAGCGCCGCGATCGCTCTTCTCGTGGAACAACCAGACAGGAGGGTCGAAGCGATAAACATACGAGATAGATGGGATTTTACGACGGCGAGGATTCGAGTAGGCTTTTTTTTACCTGACTCGAGGGAAAAAGAACGCTCTCGCGTTCTTGCAGCACTCGCACTCTCTCTCTCTCTCTCTTTCTTCTGGCACTCACCTCGCCGGCAGCAGGTCTGCGGGTGTGCTTCTCTGTCGCGCGGGAAGCCGACGAACACGAGCGCAGGAAAAACGAGGGTTCTTCGCGAGGGTGGGACGCCTCACGCGCGAGCAAACTCCGAGAATGCAGAATCCACGGTGTCGTGATATCAATTATAAAAACAGTTCGCAAGCGTCGTACGTATTATATGTATATATGTTGTATGTGCGCGAATTAATCTTACTTCTGTTGTGTAGTGATCGCAGCGGCACTATGTCAGCAAATGCAATGCACGCAGAACAGGAGGAACTAGCAACATACGAGAGGCGTCGGTGGTGACTTAGATGGGAAAACGGGTTGGTGTCGCGCGCCGGAAGTGCACTCGAGCGCTCTCTCGCGGCGGAAGCGGGAACTCATTTTTTAGTTTACAATTTCTCCAGCGCGTTTCTTTCGTAATAATAATAATAATAAAATAATACTAGTAAAATAATAATAAATTAAAATTATTCTGTATTGTGATTGTTGTAAAAAAATCTCAAATTTCATATAATAAAATTCAAGGAAATTTCAGATTTGACCAATCACAGCGCAGGATCATTCTGATTCTGTCGTGAAAGCAGCCCGTCATTTTTTTCACGCACTTGTCAAATTTATGAATAATACTTCAGAAATTTAAAATTTAAAAAAATTAAATTATATAAGATCCAAAATTAACATCTTCTTGGCTCGCATCTAGAGTTGAGTAATTCGGTTGTTAGAGCAATTTTCTACATGACATGTATAATACACGTCAAAAAAGTATTGTACATGCATATAAGGTACGTCAAGAATCGCATTCTTTTAGCGCTTTGAACGTGTTTATCAGCGTTTTTTCAAACAAACTTATCTTATCATTTATTGGTATTTCATGACATAAATCCTATATAAAACAATTTTTCGTTGTAAAAAATAATCTAATTTATTTTTAGTTATTAGAAAACAATTATCTAACCTGTGATTTATTAATCTAGTTTTTGATGTATTTGCGAGTATTCTGCTGTTACAATATATAACATAAAGCAATAACAGTTTTATCATCCTCCAGATAGATTTCAGTAGATTGCCTGCATAATAACAGAATTTAAAAATTAAAAATATATGCTTGCATATAAAGATTGAATAAAGATACGGCCTCGCATATGTATTATCAGCAAGTGAAAGGATGATCTTCTAATGTTATAAAAATTGCGAAAATATGTTGCTTATTTTGTCAGAAATATAATTGCAGTTGTGCGTTTATAGTATATAGTGAAACATATTGCTATATATTTTATAAAATATACAAATATATGTTAACAATATATATCATATATATAATGCATAATTAAAATTTATTAAAATAATTCATAATTTTATGTTGTTCTAATTATACATAATATATATGTTTGTATACTATGTTCAGCATATTTTATTGTCTATCTGGGCTTTTTAATTTTTTTAAAAATTTCCTTTATCCCAATATAACAATGTTGCAGTCGCTCGCCATGATTCATAAATGATTTATTGTTTTTTTAATACAATTTTAATTATGTCAAAGTCAACTATTTTAATCAAAAATGCACCTGTATCGGCGGCATTATTGGCTTATGTATATTGAAGTAAGTTGGAGCATGCAACGCGAATAAACCTAATACTTCACGTATTATACAATTCTATTCGCGTCTATATAATTTTAAGTCAATGTGCGCCCCAGGCGCAGACCACGTGACGTCCAATTGACAGTTCGTATTTAGGGCGATATCACATGTGGACAAGTTTAACAGACACGCTGATTGGCTGGAGGCTAGGGAATTTCTAAGATTTCGAAAGAATTTTGAATAGTTATTCTTGTGTCCACTAGGAGCGCTAAAGATCCTTTCATTTTCACGCTCGAGTTTCCCCGACGAGCTGTTCGCTTCTCGAAATCCTAGGTTGTGTCTTGTGTCGCGTAAATCGTAGTAAGTCGAAGTAAGCGGAACAAGCGGTACAGGTTCACCAGGTGTTCACCGTCGAGGGGAAAGGTGATAGAAATGTAGCTTGCCACGCAAGTCGAACGAGCTCTTTCGTGGCTTCTTAACGTCAAGGACACTAGTTTAGTTGATAACGTTATAAATAAAGGAGCCCGCCTTCGTTCCATGACTTCCCCACTCGATCATACGTGAGTAAATGTATGCAGCATTCAGCCTGTTATTTTACGACACGGTTTAACACTTCGATTCAGTTTGGAACGTAAATGAATCTCGCAGATAGAATCTACGCGTGAAAACAAAAAAAAACATTGACATTATTTCGACGTACGCGAATATGCGAATTGGACGGAGGGAAATCCCGTGCGAACGTCTGGTTCTCGCACTTTTTTTATCAGTGCACTGTTGCATTACACAACTTTGATGATAATCTTGATCGATATTTTAGGTTAACAGAAGATGACAGTATTAGAAACAGAGGAAGAAGCAGATAAACGCTCGGTTCCTCCCAGAAAGAAGTTCTGCCTGTCCCTGTCAGGTCGCGGACGTGTAATTCCCATTGTAGTTTCGCAGCCCCCTCATACATCTACAGGAGGGGGCCTTCTGGATACATCAGACTATTTACTCAGTATGTATTTTTCATTTTAATGACGTATTTTATTGATCATAGATATATAATTCTAATAAAACAGCAACATTTTAATTATAATATGATTCTGTTTGTAAAGGTACAAGCAAAATGTTGAATGGCTATCGAAATCAGCTGAGCAATCACCAGGATGGAAGTTACGATGTCTCCGGTGGTAGTACAGAAGGATTTAGGATAGCCACCTTGTGTAATTTAGGAAATACTTGCTTCCTCAATAGTGTATTATATACTTTACGATTTGCGCCTTCCTTCTTGCACAATTTACATCACTTAGCCACTGATTTGTCTAATCTAAATGATAAGCAACTTCAAACAAAAGTAAGTACTAGATCAATAAATTGCATAAAGAAAGGATTATATGCAAAATTTTGCTATATAATATTGTATGGATGAATTGTGATCACTGCAGCACTCGTATTTCATTTGTGACACTCAATAAAAGAAATATTTTTTATATAATATTAACAAATCACAATAACTACAATTTCTGTGAGGAAAATGTCACTTAAATGCAAAACATTTATTGTGAAGTGCTATGAATTGTGAATTAAATTTATAATCAGCTGTTCTTTTTATTGATTTGTTGTCTCAGAGATTTTATTAAATGATATTTGCATATGATATAATTTTAATTTTGTAATTGTTTTGTTATTTTTACTCTATTACTGAATATCAGTATGGCTATAACAATATGTAAAATTTCAAGGTGTTTTTTTCTTTACAGGCCAAATCTTCTTCATTAGGTAGAACAGGTGTATCATTAACATCGAGCAGTAGTCGTAGCCTGAGCAGTAAAGATCTATTGACATTGGCTGGACCAACAGTGGAAGCCAATAAACCAAATATTCAAATAGCCACCGAAAAATTGCATGAACTCTTCATGGCATTGCGAGCATCGGAGGCAAGAGAGAATAGTGAGCCATACCAACCGGATGCCTTTTTACAAGCTCTTAGGTATACAAATTTGTTATTATAAAAATAATTCGTCCTATATTGCTTTATTCACATTGCATTATTGATTTTCATAGAGAGGTAAATCCGATATTCGAAGGAAATCAACAGCAGGATGCTCACGAGCTTTTGGTTTGCTTACTTGATAACATCAGAGAGACTTTTCAACTATTGGTCAGACACAGAGAAAGTCAATTTGGTCAAAGCAATGGTGGCTTTCCCGACTTCACTGCGGATAACTCAACGACGGATGTGCAATTGGAAAGTAGCGGTTCTGGGAAGAGGAGTATTCGTAAGAGAAAAAAGAAGAAGTTTCCGAGTAGGGGAAGCTCAGTCTGTCTTGTGCAGCCAAACGCGAATGGTGTCGCGACATCCGCGAGACCGTATGAAAACGGACATGCGGAATTCGCCGAGAGTAATGGCGAGATAGGGACGCGCAAGCCGGAGAGCAAAAAGTGCTTTATCTCGGAGGACTTCGAAGGGATCAGCCTATTGCGTACAACGTGTCTCGAGTGCGAACATGTAACAGAACGCAAGGAAACGTTCTGCGACATATGCGTACCCATCGACATTGATCGCTCGAACGAGAAAGGTGTGTATTTAATCGATCAATTTTGAGATTTGTTTGTAAAAATACGCCGGTATGAAGAGACATTTTATATTTCTTTTTTGTAGATGATGACGGTCGATCGGTAGATAGCAGCGAAGTGTACAAACGCGCCGTAGTAACTAGCGAATTGCTTTGGGGTACGGAGAAATATTGGTGCGCACGTTGCCTACGATATAATGAGGCTCGTAGAGCCGTATGTTTTCCCTTGTTGCCGCGACTTCTCATCTTACAGCTGAAAAGATTTTCTACCGCCGCTGGGTAAGTGGGATTGTTTGATTAGAATTATTAAAGTTAGAAGCAACAGGTTACATAAAAGTTATGTAATTAATATCTCGAAATTATACAGTTAAAACTTTACTGAAAAATATGAGAAATAATTGTTTGTACATGGAGAGAATTTTTCATCATATTTTATCACAAAATTCACTACAAATTTTATGATGTTTGGTAATAATCCAAAAATTACCTGCATTGTAAACTAAAATATTTTATACGTTTATTACTTTTTTGCCTATTTTATTTAAAACACAGAATCATAAGTTTTTAATATATTTTAAATTAAAATTTTATTATAAATATTTTACTAAAATTAATCAAACATTTTATTTCCTATGTGGTAGATATTAATATTTTTTATTGTGATAAATATAAATCAAAGAAACTCATAAAATTCTTTCAATACCATACTGTCCCACGATTATCATTTTCAGGATAAATTCTAAGAGAAAATTCTCTCTATGTAATATTCTTGAAATTCATTTAAATATAGCTACAAAAATTACAATTTATAAATATTGCAATAATTTTTTAGAAATTCGTTTCTTTAAAAATTTAACTATATTTTTGACTCTCTATATTTATATCATATTGACAAAAAAATTTCTTCGATATCTCGTATTGCGATTATAATTAAATATACGTGTGCAGTTCAATGGAGAAGATCAATAACCACATGCCAACGCCGCTTACCTTGCAATGCTTTTGCGAGGAATGCAGCAACGATCAGACCCGTGGGACAGCTGGTGGTGGAACAGAATCGAGGCATGTATACAAATTATATTCAGTCATAATGCACCAGGGTGCAACGATGACCGCCGGCCATTACGTTGCTTACGCACGTCTGCCGGATGAGTCTGCGTATGCGGAGTACTTCCATTGCGATCGTGATAACAAGCGGCAGAATTCGGGCCAGGGCAGCGTTATGAGTGTGAACTCATCGTCGTCGTCGTCCTCCTCTTCCTCCGACAAAGCATCGGGCATACTCAAATACTTCAGGAGCAAACCCAGCGCGAGCGAGAACAAGGATCAACTGGTGAACAGGATTGGGTGTCGCAGCATGGATTGCTGCGGGATCAGACGCAACAAGCAAGTCGTTAGCCCTTGGTTGGAGTGTGATGACGAGGCGGTGCATGTGATCCCGCTGCGAGAGCTCGAGGACAAACTGGCGCCCAATCCGCGAAATTCCGCTACTCCCTATCTCCTGTTTTACGTGAGGTCGACGACATAAACGGCGTACTTTGTCTTCCTGTACCGGAAGTGTACATCAAAATCTCTCTGTTTGGAATTCCAAGCAGAGCGAGCAGTACGATGACAAAATGGGCCTCGTTCTTCCTAACATTGTTTCCCCTTTCCTCTCTTCGCCTTCTCTAACGACTGTGCTGTGATTGTATCGCACATTCCAGACCTGAATTCTTCTTCCTGTGTATGTGCCGCATATCAGGCGCTTTAGATTCGTGAGCGTGTATAATTTCGTAGGATATAAAATTGATAAAATTGTTCGCCAAACATTACGTTAGATTTTTAACAATCAGACGATATGATGCAAGAAATCGATATGTACCCAGTAAGCAAACTGCGCGCGGATGTCAGTAAATTGGCAATAGAACTATTCAAAGTTGCTAGTAAATTAAGATTAGTTATATCTATTAGGTTCGTGATCTGCCTAAGGCAGAGCCTGCTCATAGAAGTTGATAGCAGATTGACGGGTGCAGTCTGGTAGAATCTAACATAACTTGATGTTATATTTTATTGAAATAAATTATATTTTATTTAGAAGTTGCAAATCCTATTCGAGTTTTGCCACTAATTCGTCATTTTAATCTGCAATAATAGCTCCTGTACTTTGTAGTCTTCCCTGTAAATTTCTACTGACAACAAAATTTGTCAGGGAAGATTTGCTCTCGATAGACTTGGCTATCTGGGTACATGTAATGAAATATCGTCAACATAACGAATCATCGAGCGAGTGTCCGCGTGTAGACTATTTTAACCTTAGTTGGAACGTGGAGCGTTTTACTATTGAGTTAATTGTAAAAGAATAAAAATTATGTATTCTTGACACACACTCTTGCTTGTCTTCGGGCCATATCGTAAGATGGAGGCACCTGAACCAATCCATTCATCGCCGCGCATGTTGGACGTCATTCCGATGTAGTTTGAATATTTTAGAACGTCGTTTATTGCGAACATCCGTCATTCCCCTCGAGTTCTTTCCGAATTAATCGATTACGTGCTGGAAAGCAACAATACAATTTCTAGCTTCAAGCCTAAATAAAAACCGTCTAACGTTTGATGAACGTTTGCGAATTATATACAATCTATAACGAAGAACTCTATTGATAGAAAAAAATCAAAAGATTATTTTTATATTATTATATAAGGATATATTCTTGGAAATTCGTTAATTCGTACGTTAGGCAAATAATAGGCGGGTTTTGTCTTCACCGAATATGCGCACATCCGCACGGAATGTCGTGTGTACATATACTAAAATATTTGTATGGTGTCAGCTCAATCATACGTGGCTACATCCATATATCGATTATTTGCATAGGGGGTCAGTAGTGGAGTAGCGTTCCACCTGTCAGTCGGACATATAGTAGTTGCAACTACTTCCGGACGTGATACATTCAGTAGTTCGTATCTCTTAGATAGAACACGTTCTTACATGGCTATGTTCTCGGCACTCTTCGAGTAAGGCAAAGGGTAAGTGAAGAAAATAATTGAAATGTTTAATTAAATATATGCTTCCATATTGAAGAGAGATGTAATTCTATCATTATTTTTTAAATATGTGCGATGTGAATGCAAAATTAAAAACTGTGATGAAAAACTTTATACACAACATATTACATTTGTTGAGTCTGAAAAATTGTATTACTAATAATTTTTATCGATATATTATTTTTCTTTATTTTTTAAATCAATGATAGTTTATATTATATATACTTTGTAATTAAAAGAAAAGTCATCGCTGTATTAATTCGCTACGTTAAATGTTTTTGGATACATTAATTTATGGTTTCACAAATTTTTGAAAGTACGCTTGTGTGTGATCTATATTATTTTATCGGATTTAAAGGGTGTTGTGATTACTAAAAAGATTTTAAACATAAAAAATTTATTCTATTTCTATAATGTAACTATTTTAATAATGATAAAATTTAAATTCCAAGCACTCATACATTATTATTCATTTTGAATTTCTTAATAAGTTTTCTTCTTTATGTGCATATAATTTCCGACTATACAACGTGTCCGAAACACATTATTAAACATCGAATTCATTATCATTATGGTGAGTAAAGTAAAATTAAATTAAATAATTATCCATTGACGTAAATACACGCATATAATTTATGCAATCGAAACTGTAAATCGTATACATAATTTTCGTCAAGAAATCAATAACAGCAACACGCAAAATTTATATCTTCGTGCTTTTCTTTCGGCATTTATTATCTACAATAAAAGCTCATGAAATCTCAAGTTTCTTCACAGTGCATATTATATATTCGCATTCTGTTACACCGAACGAACATGATCGATACACCAGTTGTTCGCGGCGAAGGCACCGATAAATGGATGTCACGATATATGCATATATTTACGCACTGTTCACGAAATGTTACATTTTATCGTCACTAAAGTAAAAATATTTTGTTTCTGTCGCGAAATTATTTTCCAACGCTATCGAAACGAATCAATCCAAATACGTCGAGTATTTCACCGCGAGGGATGCGCGTCTCAACCCTTCTCGGTGTTTAAAGCGCACCACAAGACTCGTAGTAGGTCACCTATCACCACGTGTAATCGTCCTCGAGTCGAACTGCAACATAGTGCACTCGTGAATGGTATACTTATGCAATGCTAGAGTGAACGATAGGCATGAGAAAAAGAATATTATACGCGTTATTCGATCGATGAATCAATGATGCGTGATAAGGGATGAGTAATAAAAGTGAGAGTAATTGAATTAACGAGTTGAAACGAAGTCTTTTCAACAGAAAATGCAAAAAACATGATAAATGATACATTGCTTTTACTTGTCAGTTGTTAGAGAAAAATTAACGATTTAATGTCTTTTGAATTTACTCTGATAAACAATAGTATGAGCACTTTTTCGAAGCATTTGCTTCATTACACGACATCATTTACTGTATCTTCTATGATCGCCAGATTAATTATGTTAGTCATTATTTATCAAATATTATTTTAATTATTTGTAATTATTTGTAATTATTTATCACATATTATTTAAAGTATTTTTTAAGTAAAAGTAAATTTGTACCGCTTCACAATTATTATTTTTCTCTTTGATTATTTCTATTTATTTATTGCAGACATATTTGAATCGAATATTAATTTATTATTATGAAGCACCAGCAAGTAACCGTGGACATGACGAATATGATATTTACTGCTTGCTCTTATTTGGCGCTTGCCGGAGCGGTCTGGATATTTTTACGTCTTATTCAGGCATGCTTTTGGCTGCCAAAACATTTAAAAAGGCAAAATGACGTTCAAAGAATGTTGCAAGATAAGGTAAACTTGAATATTTATTAATTCAATTTCAATTATTTTTGTTTCTCTTCAACCCACAAATGATTTAAAGTTTATCTGATTTTATCTATTCTTCTATGTTGTATTTGAAAAAAATAATTGATTTAAGAAGAGTTTAAAAAGAATTTCATCAGACTTATCGATTATTTTAAACTAATGGTACGTTCTTTCAGGTTGACAGTTATGAAAAGTATGTGTTAGAATGCGAAGAGAAGGAAAAGGCGGAAATGTTGGATCAGATCGACGATGAGAAGAAGAGTCTCGAGATGTCAGAAAAATGGAAAGAACGACGAGAATGTCTAGACATGCTCAAGCGAGAGCTGCAAAGAGTTCGCGAAGGCAAAGATATGTCCGATTGGGACGCTTTGCTAGAGGAGGAACTAAAGAAGCATGAACTAGACCCCAATCTTTTAGATGAAGAGGAAGAAGAGGAGGAAATCTTTAAGAAGGATATTAATAAAGAAAAAAGTGAAGAGAAAAGTGAGAAAAAAGATAAAATCGAGGCGAAGAAGGAAAAGTAATAATTACATTGAGTGCCTTAAAAGTGCCTTATTAAGACTGTTGAATTGCTTTATGAAAACTTATATCGGTATGTAGAAGAATATTTAAAAACGTAAATCTTGAAAAAGTTTTGTAAAATATTCTATATACTCAATAATTATTAAAATAATTAAAGTGGACTTAATAGGACGAGTGTTCTTACATTGCTTACTGTATTGATAATTGAATTTTATTCATGATTTTATTTATCAATACAGAGAGAATACAGTTTTATTAAAATAATTCTAAATTTAATTAATATTTATAAAAAATATTTATATTGTGTGGAAATGCAATCAGTGTAAGGAATGCTTCTCGTGTAGTAATTACCACAATATAATTAATGACAAAGATAAGTAGTTAAATAAAGGCGTGTTTTCAAAGCAAAAATTACATGCATGTACATTTATACATGTATAAAATATTGTTTTATTAGTGTAAAATTATTCTTTTTTATGTTGAAAGAAAGAATTACGTACAATATTTAAGAAAAAAGTGATCACTTTTTCATATTGAATTATTATCCAAGAGTGGAGAAGTGAAGCTTTATATGTATCTAAGTAGATATATCTTTATATATGTATATCTAAAATCTAAATAGACTATATATATATAGACGAACTATATAATACAACTATATAGACAAATAACATCACTAATTCACTTCGTTGTGTTGCCATTATTGCGATCAATATACAAAACAAATGGAACGTAAATGTCTACCTCGACAAACTTCTGCCTGTTTCTAATAATACCTGCTTTTATTAAATGTGTCATATGTGTCGATATTCTACGTGCGCAATAATAATTACGAATTAATTTAATTGTCATGAAGCAGTAGCACTATTTGCAAAAACGGAATTTAATTAGGGAGATGATGCAATCTTTTAAATATTTATTTATTTACATGTATGTATATCTTAACACGGTACGAACGAAAAATATGAGGTGTATTAGTGGTATTATATACATACATACGCATATACACATATTTACATATTTCTGTATTTAAGCATGTGTTATTTTATGAAGCTTTCTAGGTAGATGTAGGAAACACATTTTAGCAAATTAAAATAGCGTGACCAAGAGAATAATAATTATATATGTATAGAAGAATTATATTGAACCGTGCAATATATATAATAATTTATATGGTATATAACTATTGTATTTTTAAATGTTGAATTTATGCTTTTATATTACTGTGGTTTTATATTATTATTATTGTGTAAAATTAATTATGTTTGCATTTTAGAAATTCAATTCTTAATTTTTATTAATATCGTCTGAACGATATGTAACATTTTGGTTTTTAAAATGTAAACATTATTTTGAAGTTTAAGCTACACTTGTTTTATTCAATCAGTGGAGCTACGTATTGTAAATTGTACTAGTATCTACGGCTTTAATACATTGCTATCGGAGGCAGGTGCATGCATCACCTTTTTTTATTCTACCTGTCGATGCCATTGTACGAAAGTCAAGGTCAGCGGCAGACTAATTTAAAAAGCAGTTTACTGGCATAGCTCCAACTAGAACGGTGATTATTTTCTTCAGCAACAGAGATCTCTCTGCTCTCTACAGATGAACGAAGAAAATTTAGAAATTTTGCGGCGTCATATATTATAATAATGGATGTTCTAAAATTTTTGTGTTATTTAAATGCGAAGTTAAATTAATTTGTGTGCATGATTTTTTAACAAGATTTGTTTTAATACAATATATTATACGATGTGCAATATATTAAATAATTAAACTTTAAAATCTAAAAAGCAAAGTTTCGAGCAAGCAATAGTAAGGCATACAAAATTTATTTTTTAAAAATTAATGATATATCTATGTTTTTTAAGAGAAATTCAATTTTTAGTTAATAAAAAAATCTTTATTTAAAATCAAGAATTTATTGTGTCACTTTGTACATGTCAAGTGTATATATAGTGCATCTTGTTCTACTGCAAGATCACTTTTCTATCGAGATTATGTCAACTTAAATGGATGAGTATCAGTAGACAGATATTGATTATTCTACATAAAATATTATATAGTTACGTTGACATAATGTTCGCATGGAGAGTGCGCATAAAATAATAATAATAATCTTTCATATTTTTTATATAGGCGCGAATTGCATATTAAACAATATAAATACGAAAGATAATAGAAATAAACAATACAAAATCTTAAAAATGTATTTTAGCACATCTCTTATTTTTCGCTAATATTATCAGAGAGAAAGATGAGAGCGGCCAGGCCGGCGTTTTGGCTGTTACCGTTTTTACGGGACTGCTTGAAGCGCCCCTCGCACCCGTTTTCAATATCGGAACTAACTCACACCCATTTTCTGGCAGGGTCGATAAAGTTTGTATTTGGTGCGAGTCCGTGCTACGCCCATAATTTTCGTGTTGAGAAACTTGGTGCTAGAATCCATTTCAAGTTCAAACCCTGCTGTTTTAATTTTTTTAATTTCGTTTTTTTTTCAAAGTTTTTTCAAAGTGTATTCACAAAAGTTATTATGTATTAGAACAATCAATTAATAAATTATTATTTGATAATTATTAAAATTATACGCACATTTTTTAACAATTTTGCTTATGTAACTAAAACTTTATAAGTTTGTAATCAATTTAATATTTTTTTAGTTTTCATAAAAAAATTGTAATCTTTCCTAATTATAAAATTGTTAAAAAATATGAAATCATTTTAATAATTATAAATTAATAATTTATTACTTTATTGTCTTACACATAATAAAGTATTTGAATACACCTTTAAAAAAAATAGAAAAAAAATAGAAAAAGCAGGTTTTGAACTTGAAAGATCCAGAATTCTAACTCGTCGTCTCACCCACTCGACTACGGATATTACCTAACGTTCCTTTCTATCAGTACAGTACATTAGGGAGGCCCACAGAAACTTCAACAATTAAATCTTATTAATTATATATATATATATATATATATATATATATATATATATACATACAGGGTGTTTCATTTTAATTTCCCCAGGCAAATATTTCGGAAAATAATAAAAAATCGAAAAAATGTTTGAGACAAAAGTTGTATGATTTCTAGGGGGACATAAGATGGTGTTATTAATTTGACCTTGAAAAGTTACATGAAAGTTACGTGAAGATCATTTTGAATTTCTTAAATGGAATACCCTATATATTTTTGCATATTCCTGTAGCTTATGTTGAAAGCTTTCCAAAACACTATAAATAAATATTTTTTCATCAAGTACTTTTCGAGTTATAAGGTTTAAAGTTGACAATTTTTTTACATAAAATGTAAAATATCTTGTAAAACATTTAGTTTTCGCTAATCTTACCTTAACACTTTTATGCACAAAATAATGAGACCAAATAATTATTTAAAAAAGTATGTAATATGCAACAATGCAACTGCATACTTATTTACTTTAAAAGCAACTATTTGTTTTGTTTATACCAATTAATTGATCTCATTATTTTGTGCATAAAAGTATCAAGGTAAGATTATCGAAAACTAAATGTTTTACAAGATATTTTACATTTTATGTTAAAAATTGTTAATTTCAAACCTTTATAATTCAAAAAGTACTTGATGAAAAAATATTTATTTATAGTGTTTTCGAAAGCTTTTAACATAACAAGAATCAAGAATATGCAAAAATATATAGGGTATTCCATTTAAGTAATTCAAAATGATCTTCACGTGACTTTCATGTAACTTTTGAAGGTCAAACTAATAGCACCATCGTATGTCCCCCTAGAAACCGTACAACTTTTGTCTCAAACATTTTTTCGATTTTTTATTATTTTCCGAAATATTTGCCTGGAGAAATTAAAATGAAACACCCTGTATATATATTAATATATATAATTAACACGAGTTATTGTATCTTGTATTAGTGGAAGAGATGTGTAATAATTAATAATTAAAAGTTAAGCAATATTTAGGAAGACCGAGATTGTTTCCTTGTGAAATTACACACAATAAATTTTGTCCTCCTTTACATTGTTAGAAAATGTTTGAAGCGCTATCATTTCCCCACCACCTTGCGGTAGATAGCATGGTGCGGTTTTTTATAGTAGGCCCCAATAGGCCTAATCCACTATTTTTATGTAATGCATGAAGCAAAAGTTGTTACATAAGCTGTAATTTATGAACAATTGATTTTATTAATAAATATATTAAAACTGTAAATATTAATATAACTGTTAATGTAATTTTTAATATATATTATATTATATTTAATATTTATCGCCGCTTCTATTAATATGAAGTGCAATGTCAACGTGCAATAATGTACAATTATTTAAAGTTTCCATGCCTAATGTATCATGCCGGTATAAAAGAACGTCAAGTAGCATGCGTAGCCGAGCGACTAAGATGACGAGCTGAAATCGTGGACATTTCAAGTTGAAACCCCTGCCTTTTTCAGATTTTTTTTTTCACTTTTTTCAAATAAGTTATTATGTGTAAGAATAATCAATATATCATTATTTGATAATTTTTTTTGTAATGGAACAAAATAAATTATTTTTTAATTCTGCAAGGAATTTAATTATTATGCAAACGCCCACACACATAATTTAGATATTCAATTTTTTGTAGTTCAAATGTTTCTTGCAATCTGTATACGACAATCAGTCCACTCGCTGTGCCACAGATTGCATCGCATAATACGCTCAGAGTTATAATACGATAGAGATCGCTTTTTTTCGCTGTTTTTCCTTGAAATAAATAAATTTTACGTGTTGTGTACGCGTGTTTAGTATATTTGTTTCTTTCATATTAATTTTAACTATAATTAGTTTTTTAATTAAGATTATTTTAGTGTTAGTTGTTTATTTGTTAGTGTCCTGTTTTCTTTAATTTCGCATTTTTTAATTTTCTTTTTTTTTGGTGTTGGTGCTAATTATTATTTTTATTTTACAATGTCGAGTAAACACCGGTTTTACGATAAATGTGTGTATTTAAATTGCACAAATATTAGGACAAAAGATGGAAAACGTTTATTTCGATTTCCATTACAAACGGGTGCGAGACATGATTTATGGTTACGCAATAGTGGTGAGTTTATAAAATTGATTTACTTATTTATATCAATATATAATATATATTGATATGATATATGAAACAAATATATATATATATTCTTTGTTTTTTTTAATAAAATATGTCAGATATTATGTATGTTTACGTATGGATTACATTGAAGTGTTTCTTTGCCGCGTTTTTCTGATCTCGCCGAACGGTTCGCGAATCCTGTGCGAATAAAAAACGATGCGCGTGTGTGTGTGCGTGCGATTGTGATGATCAGTTTCAGTTCGTCTTCAACGCTTGACGAGAGAAGAGGTCCCGAACTGCTGTAAGTTTATAAAAACATATTTTTGTATAACACATTAGAACGATTTTATATTATTTTTTTGTCTAGAAAACGTTATATTAATAACCGTTATGAAAACGATCTCGACGACGGTCGTCACCGGCATCGTCGCCGTCGTCGAGATCGTTTTCATAACGGTTATTAATATAACGTTTTCTAGACAAAAAAAATAATATAAAATCGTTCTAATGTGTTATACAAAAATATGTTTTTATAAACT